AGCACCTATACAAGAAATGATCACTAGAATCCCTATACATCCAGCACCTATACAAGAAATGATCACTAGAATCCCTATACATCCAGCACCTATACAAGAAATGATCACTAGAATCCCTATACAAGAAATGATCACTAGAATCTCTATACATCCAGTACCTATACAGGAAATGATCACTAGAATCTCTATACATCTATACAGGGAATGATCACTAGAATCTCTATACATCCAGCACCTATACAGGGAATGATCACTAGAATCTCTATACATCCAGCACCTATACAGGGAATGATCACTAGAATCTCTATACATCCAGCACCTATACAGGAATGATCACTAGAATCTCTATACATCCAGCACCTATACAAGAAATGATCACTAGAATCTCTATACATCCAGCACCTATACAGGGAATGATCACTAGAATCCCTATACATCCAGCACCCAGCACCTATACAGGGAATGATCACTAGAATCCCTATACATCCAGCACATACAAGGGAATGATCACTAGAATACATCCAGGGAATGATCACTAGAATCTCTATACATCCAGCACCTATACAGGGAATGATCACTAGAATCTCTATACATCCAGCACCTATACAGGAATGAATGATCTATACATCCACTATACAGAATCTCACTAGAATCTCTATACATCCAGCACCTATACAGGGAATGATCACTAGAATCTCTATACATCCAGCACCTATACAGGGAATGATCACTAGAATCTCTATACATCCAGCACCTATACAGGGAATGATCACTAGAATCTCTATACATCCAGCACCTATACAGGAAATGATCACTAGAATCTCTATACATCCAGCACCTATACAGGGAATGATCACTAGAATCTCTATACATCCAGCACCTATACAGGGAATGATCACTAGAATCTCTATACATCCAGCACCTATACAGGGAATGATCACTAGAATCTCTATACATCCAGTACCTATACAGGGAATGATCACTAGAATCTCTATACATCCAGTACCTATACAGGGAATGATCACTAGAATCTCTATACAAGGAATGATCACTAGAATCTCTATACATCCAGCACCTATACAGGGAATGATCACTAGAATCTCTATACATCCAGCACCTATACAGGGAATGATCACTAGAATCCCTATACAGGGAATGATACTATCCATACATCCAGCACCTATACAGGGAATGATCACTAGAATCCCTATACAAGGAATGATCACTCCAGCCAGCATCTATACAGGGATACATACAGGGAATGATCACTAGAACCTATACAGGGAATGATCACTAGAATCCCTATACATCATCCAGCACCTATACAGGGAATGATCACTAGAATGATCTCCCTATACATCCAGCACCTATACAGGGAATGATCACTAGAATCCAGCACTATACATGATCCTAGAATCCTATACAGGGAATGATCACTAGAATCCCTATACATCCAGCACCTATACAGGGAATGATCACTAGAATCCCTATACATCCAGCACCTATACAGGGAATGATCACTAGAATCTCTATACATCCAGCACCTATACAGGGAATGATCACTAGAATCCCTATACAAGGAATGATTACTAGAATCCCTATACATCCAGCATCTATACAGGGAATGATCACTAGAATCCCTATACATCCAGCATCCTATACAGGGAATGATCACTAGAATCTCTATACATCCAGCATCTATACAGGGAATGATCACTAGAATCCCTATACATCCAGCATCTATACAGGGAATGATCACTAGAATCTCTATACATCCAGCACCTATACAGGGAATGATCACTAGAATCCCTATACATCCAGCACCTATACAAGGAATGATCACTAGAATCCCTATACATCCAGCACCTATACAGGGAATGATCACTAGAATCCCTATACATCCAGCACCTATACAGGAAATGATCACTAGAATCCCTATACATCACCTATAGCACACTATCCCTACACCTATACAAGGAAATGATCACTAGAATCCCTATACATCCAGCACCTATACAAGAAATGATCACTAGAATCCCTATACATCCAGCACCTATACAAGATCACTAGAATGATCATCCAGCACCTATACAAGAATGATCACTATAATCCCTATACATCAGCACCTATACAGGGAAATGATCACTAGAATCTAGAATCTATACATCCAGCACCTATACAAGGAATGATCACTAGAATCCCTATACATCCAGCATCTATACAGGGAATGATCACTAGAATCTCTATACATCCAGCACCTATACAGGGAATGATCACTAGAATCCCTATACAACCAGCACCATCTGGCTCTTACGCTTCATGAGATACATCAAACAAGTGTCATATGGCTGATAAACTGCCTAGTGAGAAACATCAAACAAGTGTCATATGGCTGATAAACTGCCTAGTGAGAAACATCAAACAAGTGTCACATGGATGATAAACTGCCTAGTGCGAAACATCAAACAAGTGACATATGGATGATAAACTGCCTAGTGCAAAACATCAAACAAGTGTCACATGGATGAACAATGTCTAGTGAGAAACATCAAACAAGTGTCATATGGATGATAAACTGCCTAGTGAGAAACATGAAACAAATTATATATGGCTGATAAACTGTTGAACAACAATGAGACAAAATAAAAAGTTCCTCGGACCTTTGGCTTTTTCTGAAGACACTGTTACCGTACTGTTTTTGTCATCTAAAACACTGTGTGTCTCTCTAAGCTCTTCTTTCGCTTCTGTAGACCTGTTCTCTTGCTCCTGCATTTATCAAATCAGAAAGAAAAAAAATGTTGCAAATGAAAACACTCTTAAAATCCCTAAACTAATGTATAATTCTGGGCCATTTCTTTTCTTTAGAAAATAGCATATCTAGAAAAAATGAAACATGATTTTTTCAGATGTAATAGATTGACAAAAAGACAAGGAACTATAGGAATAAAGCAATGTTTAAAATATATAGAGCAGACAGCAGCATGATTAGGTTACGGGGTGAAATGTTTCCAAGCATATAAGCAGAGTCAATATACAGGTTATGATCTTAAGTCTACACAAGAGCAGCTGAGCTGATGAATTCTCTACTACTAGGAGGGGAGGGGGGGGGAGAGAGAGAGAGAGGAGACCCACACACAAATATATAGCAAGGAATATTTGAAGAGACTGGTCAATGGAATCACTGTTGAAGTGAACAGCACATGAACTCCTAACATCTTTCACAGCACAGCTACAAGTTATATCTGACTATGTAGAGAATATCTGTTCACAAACATGATGATGTCAACACCATGCTGTAGATCTGCTGGATATAAATGTGGTAACAAATGTAAAGAACAAGAATAAAGACAATACAGTCTCAATTCAACATGAGAATAGGAGAGTCATGATTAAAGCATTCTAACATGACCTACTTCCAGCACCAAGGAATAAAGTCGTCAGTGAAATAAGCATGGCCATGAAACATAATTTAATTTTTTGTTTATTAAAGAATACAGACAGCAAGCAAGAAAAGCAACAAAATACAGGTTGTATGTAAAATGGACGACCAGAGTGAATAAAGGAAGAAGTCCCAATCTTGCTGGGATACAATAATAATGGGTTAAAGAAAACATGTATGAACCAATACCACCAGCCATTGCCCGCCTGCTGCCAGGGAAATCTGTCAGTTGAGATATCTGAAAAGAGGCCAGCCACTTCTGGATCAAAGATTGTACGGGAGAGTTCCAGCAATGTTCAGTTGCACATCCCAAGACGGAGGTCAACTACACAGACGTACAAACTGCATCTCTTGCCACTTTACAACCAATGTCACAGGGATGTTGAGTAGGTCTGTCAATGCACTGACATGTTTCTGTAGGTCACAAAACTTGTGATCTGAAGTGATGATAAACTTGATGCTGGCTCTCCTTGAGCTGTCTATGCCAGTGGTTGTAGTATTAACAAATATCAGCACAGTTCATCTCCAGCAGAAACAATCCTCAGCGTAAAGATGAAGTGAGGAAGGCAATGGTCAAAGTCTCTTGGATCATTTCAAAATGTTATAAATGTTCATGAGTCAGATCAGTCCAGAGAGGGAGAAACTAGTATTCAGGAACACGTGGTAAAGTATGTGACTGTCCACAGATGTGGCAATAACAACAGTCTGTAGATGTCTCTGTGAACTCACCATGTTGATATTCAACAAGGCTTGTGTCAGGATGACGTGTGTCAACATCAAAACTGTTCATTTAGTTCATGAATGATCTCCAGCAAGTGGAGCCCATTTCAGTGATAATGGAAGTTTGTGGCATTCGATGATCTGTGGGACATACTGCAGACATGTGAAGCACCTAGTGGACTTGTGAGGTACTTGGTGGACTTGTAAGGTACCTAGCTGACTTGCGAGGTACTTAGTGGACTTGCAAGGTACTTGGTGGACCTGTAAGGTACCTAGCTGACTTGTGAGGTACTTGGTGGACTTGTGAGGTACCTAGCTGACTTGCGAGGCACCTGGCTGACTTGTGAGGCACCTGGTTGGCTTGCGAATTAGCTGGTGGACTTGCAAGACATCTAGTTGACTTGTGATTATCTGGTGAACTTGTGAAGCACACGACAAACTTGTCAGCAAACAATGAAGGACTTGTAAAGCCAGAGGATGTGTGCTAGAAATAAATTTACTCTTTGACTCCCAGGAGTTGTTTATGATCACAATGATGTTGTGTTCAAATCTTCTTGAGCAATAATATGAAAATTGTCTTTCTGATGGCCTCAAACAGACCACAAAAGTGTCTTTCTCTCACATTCCCAGATTGTACACATGGTGATGGGTGATAAGTAAAATGTCTCTGGCACTAGTGAACAATGTCTTTAGTACAACAAAGAAAATCACTGAAGCATGGAGGTCGTGGATGGTGAGCTACAACAGCATCAACTGGGAAGCAGTGTGGCTTATATGCACAGCAGGTTTGTCTTCCAATGAGTGGTGAGTGTGCAGCAGCAGTTTGGCAACTGAAGTCATCTCAGCCTCCAGGACACAGCTATCAAGTTGAATTAATGCAAGGCAAGGTGAACCAGTGTACAGTTTTAAACACAAACAGCAACGGGCATCAACTGCACTGACAACACAAACAGCAATGGGCCTAAACGGCACTGACGACACACACAAAGCCTAGACTTTCAAACTTAAAGCTACAACTTTTTTTTTTATAATCGTTATAAAGAAATGATGAAAGCAACAAACACAACTGCTGTGAAATCAATGAATAAGCGACATCTCAGAGTTGCAAGCTAAACTGATAATCATACATTCTGCAGCTTCTCTCACTACTCTAGTACTGATGGACTTCTACAAACTCCATCATCACACAAAATGGATGTTTGACAGAAGAATCTCAAATGCACATGCTACTGATGGCGTTTTGTTTCATGTTCTCTTTTCGTATATTAATAAATTATCACCCACCATCACTGGGGATTGATCTCTGCGTCCCTACACTGACATGCAGGTTCGCTACTCATTTCTTATCAACTTATGGTATGACTGTCAGATTGTTCTGTACCAAAACTGGGACTTTTTATGAAACGCCCCTAATTAGTCTACTCTTAGGACATGCTTGTCGGGGATGTAAGGGTCTAATTTGTTCTCTAAAATGGAGCCCAGCAGCCCACACAGAGAAGGTTCTGGAACAAAACTAAAGTTCAGAAGTTGAACAACCAGAATTTTCGGCCTGAATTTACAGCCGGTGGACATGAAGCCAAAGTGACAACTTGACAAAGATGAAGTAATAGAATAACTGACCTGCCTTAAACCCATTTCACTACTGTAAACCCTCCAGTGGGTACACTATGAGTCTCTTTCCCCCATCCCCATGAACACAATAATTCTAAAGCCTGATTTATACTGACAATTCCACTAGATAGTTGAGAAAATCACTCCCAGCCGTATACACATCATGTAACAGAATATTTAGCTAATGGTGCTTCCATAAACATTACAGACATACAGTTTCTAATATTATGTCAGGGACATAACTTAACAATCAGACTTTACACTAAACCATTATCACAGCAACAGATAATTTCTCTCCATGTAAACAAAGTTAGTCAGATAACCCCTTAAGCCGCATTAACATATATCTAAAAGATATACAGGAAAACACAACAAAGAAAAGATACCTTATGCAGATTATTCACTTTCTCTTCCTGGCCCTCTGACTTGGGTTCACTGAATGAAATGAAATTACAGAATCAATATCAAAATCAAACTGACAGTAATATATATCAAAAGGAAAGCAATGTGTTCAAGTTTGAGAACAAAACTTGTCTGCTCATAAATAACAGGAGAGTTCTGGGCTTTGATTTAAAATGTGAGTGTCTTGTTGAGATCAACTGGGAGAGACAATAATAAACCCACATCCTCCAACAAGCAGGTCATAAAAGGAAACTAATCAGGAGTGTGCTGAAGTAGATGCAATGTGCCAAAAGATGCAAATATTGCAGCCTAGCTGTAAACCCCAAGGTGCCAACCGCCCTTTTAAGGGCAAATGTAAAAGAAGCAATGAAGAAACATAACTGTGAAGTCAGGATTCAATGTCTCCCATGTTTATTGGTACAGTAAGATATCTTCTTCTTCTTCTTGTTCACCGACTGTGAATTCCGGCGGTAAGTCACGGTTGTTCGTCCAAAATGGACTTTTGGCTTTTACCTTGACCTGAGTTTTGCGTGTACATCCGTTTTACTGGCTTATTTGTTTGCAGTACTCGTTCCCCGCCTCTCCGGCAGATGTACTCCGACTTCGGAGGAAGACGTCAAGCCTATTTCTAGGTTGACTGTGACCATTGTTTTGTGTGGGTCGAGATGTTGCCTTATTTGTGTAGTGTCCTCTTTGACTTTTAACAAGTGTGGCCCCCCGGCATGTCGTCCTTAAGGCAGCTCTATGTAGAGTTTTCAGCCCTCAAGGGAAGGCAGGGGCAGATCATGGGCATTCCCCGCCATCCAAGGAGGCTTCCATAAATGCAGAGCCGACACATGATGCACTGGTTCTGGGCTCACCCAAGGAATCGTCACGTCCTGCCCACGACTGCTTAACCTCACAACCGTGTATTGAGCTTCCCGCGCTACAAGGCTGCGCTCTCCGGAGATCAGCCCGCAGGTCTAGGACGTTTGTGGCCACACAAATAGGTACATTCTTTTTCATCTTACGTTAGACACCTTTAACGTTGTTTCAGCTGTGCCCTTAGCACGACAGAATGGGGAGGCAAAAAGCGACAGGTGTGGCTTCACCTGTTTGGTCCCAACACTCGGGGGAGTTGGACCAGTGAATACGGACATTCAGACTTTTCCTAATCGGTATGAGTTATGATCGTCGGACTTTGAGCTGGCATGTGTGCCGTGGGGTGTAACGTTGTCGGACATTGTTTTCAAGCCAGCACATGAATAGTTGCTGCCATGGTGTACCTCAGCGCGGTGACGACGACACTGAGGATTGACAGAGGATGTACGTAGGTGGGATCTTGCTGCGAGAAGTCGCCCACAAGAGATGTTACTCGTCTTGGCTGCGGGTAAATCGGTCAGGGTTGAGTCTCAGCAGCACAGTTTTCCATTCGCTCCCGAATTTTAACCAAGAGTTGTCATTTGATGGTACATTTAGCAAGCAGTCCTTGAGTTTTGTTACTTTTCACCCATGCGTTTGGGGGCGGGCTGGTGAGAGCCAGGTGGGGCACTACACCTCTAGGGGCCGCCAGCTCCGAGATCCCCTGCCAACTCTGTCAATGCTCATTGGAGACATTATCTGTGGCGCACGACGGGGACGTGCAACAGGAGTCTTGCATGAGGTTCCGTAAAACCAGAACAGTGAAGGACTGGCGCCCGAGTGGGGTACGGAATATCTCCTTATACACATCACATCAGACTTAACTTCCTCTCATGCCTGTGACCGAAATCACCGCGCCACACAGTAAGATATGTTTTAACTGTAACAATAAACAAACAATTATAACCCAGTCATAATGAGGTCTATTTCAGTTGGTTACACTGACCGTAATGTGATGTGTGTATGCATGTGCGCTGCACTCAGATTCTCAATGAAGATTCTAACCCAAAAAAGGAACCTAAGGAAAACAAACCCAAAAATACAATCAGCGAACTATGGGGACACAGTGGAAAGAGCACTTGCCTGCCAGTCAGATGGTCATGCGCTCAAAACTCCTTTAAAACAATTTACCCTGAAAGTGCTAATAAAAAAAAAAGTCATGGTCCGTAGGGACCCCCCCCCCCCCCACACACACAAATAATTCCCAGGTGGGTAATACATTTATGGGACCTGCAAGAGAAACATATGAGAAGACAGTACATAGAGAATTGAAGGTTTCTACCAACCATGACAGTGATGTCTGAACTGAGGATGGTTTATAATCTCCTTCTGTACGACCAGCCTTGCTTGTTGTGGGAGATTTACTGGTAACTTCAACCTAAAACAGATGTATATAGATAATTTCCTTCAATGAAGAAGAAAAATGTCTTTCTTCTCTGCATTTAACATGTGTGATGTTGCAGGCCTGCTACACACCTTGTACTGGGCCCGCCTGACACTCACACTTGCCAAATGGTCTAGCTTCAACTCATTAATGTCGAGACATACAGATCACAGCTCCAGCCCAACAGTAACAGATGACTGAACAAAGGTTTCCCGACAAAGACTACACACTGTATTGGTTCACAACTGCTGCCTCTCTTTCAGAGGACACAACTAACCAGGTAGTAAAAACAAACAACTGAAACTACAGCCTAATAATAATGCATACAAGTTTTTTAAAATTCACAACTGAAATTAAAAAAATTAAGCAAAACGTCAGTACCGCAGCTCTATAGATTCAGTAATTGAGTCTACAAAGTCACTGTACCAAATACAAAAAGACTACAGATCATTTAAATCTGACTAACTGCTTACCTTCATCTCTTCAGCTTCATCTCCTTTCTGCTGGGTTAATGACACCTTCCTGTCTGAAGTCTGTGCCTGGCCATTAGTTTTAGACTCCTTTTTATGGGAGCCATCCCGGCTGCTATCTGAAGAACTGCCGCTGGAACGTGTCTGACTGCCAGAGCTGGATGAACTAGAACTTTCTCCTTTCTTCCTTGTGGGTGACCTGGATCTAGACCCTGCGGATGACGAATCAGATGAAGAGGACCTACTGCGCTGCCTTCTTGATGACTTAGGTGGACCTTTAGCTGAAGCAGTTTCTACAATTCTTTTATCCTCTTCTTGACTGTTTTCTTCAGAAATCAATTTACTTTTTACTAAGCTACTAGCAGCTTCCTGAGCCTTCCCAGATAAGGTAGCAGACTTCTCAGCAGGTAGACTTGCTACAGCGATAGACAATCCTGATTCAGCAACCACTTCTCGTACATCTTCTTCTTCCACCAACTGATCTGACTTTTCTTTGCTGTTGGTGTTATCTTCATGGGGGCTTTGTCTTTCCTTTGTGTCATCTGCTGTAGCAGAGTCTTTCCTCTCACGTGGATTTGTAAACTCAACTGTGGCTGGAGCTAGTGGCTGTTTTTTCCTCCACTTCTTCCTAGAACTTGCAGCCATAACCTTATCAGCATTCTCATTCTTTCCCACTGATTTATCTCCACTACCATCACATGGTATGTCATTCTCTGCTGCTTGGTCAGCATCAGACCTTTTACGTGGCTTCTGGGCAGGCATCCTGGAGGAAGCGGTATTTGGTGACCTGGAGCCAGAGTCTGAGCTAGAGTTGTTTCTGGATCTCTGCTTCTTTTTTAGGCTCTCTTCTTCTGTGGATGATGATGATGAGGAACGGCTCCGCTCGACCTTCCTAGCTGCTGCTCTGGCTGGACGTCCTCTCCGGTTTTGAGAAGACTGATCAGGTGAAGGAGAACGAGAACTGAAATTACCAGAACAAAGAACTTTAAAATTAACAACAGAGACATCAAAATGGTAAAGCAGACACAGACATTGTCTTGTGTGTGTGTGAGACAGTCCTATGAAATCTCTGCTAGCGATTTTACTAGGCCAGTCAAACACACAAAAGATTATCCAAACATTTTACAATCTCTTCTCAAAGCAAAAACAAACTGATACAAGCTGAATGTTACTAATGGCCAGAACAGAAGAAAGAACAGCAATCTGTAAACCTGTGTTAAATGTGAGTGGCAAGCAAGAATGTTGGTCTGAGACGACAAATTCATCCCTAAGAAAATGCACAATTCAACCTCAAACAACTAGTCTACAAAGGGTGGGATGTGAGCTGGTTAAAGGCCTATGCATCTCTGGAAGATGCCAGGCAGAGGAACACAAGCAGAAGCACAGCTTGGTGAGTACAGGGGATCTTATCACTCAACCATCAGGGGACAGACATGACTGCTACTGGTACCGCTGGAATTAGAACTGTGTTGGTTGCTGAAGAGAGGGTCACAGCATTTATGGTATTGTTCCAAGTGATGTGATGTTAGTTCTTGACTTGACTCAACCTAGCGTCATGCACATGCCACAATTGTAACCATGAAAGTGACAGGTGTTAACCCAAGTAGGACAACAGATTTCATTTGTGAGATGCAGTCTGCTTGGCATTACCCTAATCCCAAAGTAAACAGAACATAAATATTTAAACTGATGTGTGTGTGAGCGAGAGACAGGGTGAGAGAAAGTCCATCATTACCTTAGTGATGAGCTTGATCTCTTTCTCTGCCTTTCTTTCTCTGGTTTAGGAGATTCTGGTCTGTTCCTGCCTTGGTCTGCCACTGGACCACTTTCCCCTGTGAGACATATGTTATGATGGAATTAACATGCTTATATCAGAGCTACAATATGAACTGTTGTATGTGAGCTACACTAATATTTCATATTTTATATAACTTATAACATAGTGAGAGAGAAAAAAACCACAGGGCTCCCTACAACCCAATCTGTATTTCTAGGAGTGTTTTAGCTCTGGTTAAACACATCTGTAGCTATTCGACTACTGGAAAGCTAACATTCACCGACTGTAGACTAACCACTGCACTGTCATGGCTTCAAGGCCGTTGACCAGCAAGATTATACCACACCATTAGGTGTCACCTCCACACCCAGTGTCAACTATAAATCATCTCCCAGAAGATATATCAATGGCTGTATCACGTGCTGTCTTACCCAACCAGAGATAAGATATGCTGGGTAGGCTAATGAAATGCATTTCCACTCTGCCACCCCTACTCCCACACACACACACACAGTTCACCATGTGCGAGACAGTTCAAATCAAGTGAGACTTCTACAGATCAGATCTAATGCACCAGATGTTATGTTGTAACTTCCCACTTAAGACGGTTTCTAACAAACACTGACTTCTTAATACAAATTTGTACTTCACCCTACGTTATGTGCAGGTAAAAAGGTAGCAATGTTCCGAAGCAGGTTTACTGCATATCCTGGGAAATATACAATATATTTTGTACAAATTATAAAAGTTCAATTTTTTAGGTTCAACTCTTTTCACATTGTCATAAACTGGCCGCATTTTCCAAAATTTTCTATCCTCTAAGCTGAATGTTAAAAACAAATAACTTCTAGAACATTCATATTACTAAGTAATAAATGACGAATCAAATACATCTGAGAAAGAGGTCCGCAATTTACATATGACTAAGGCCCTATTAGGGTATTTTCCTAGCCCTAAAAATTGCGGACCGTTATTCGGAGAATAGCCCACCCCTGCCCTCAACTTGTCTCTTTCCGCTACATAAGTTTTTGTTATATGTAGTTAAAAATATGGAACAGGAATACTACGAACTATGCTTTCTTTTATTATATAATTTCGTTTGAACGAAATTAGTCTTCGCTAGTATAGTTGATAAGCAGTCTGCTTGTTACGCCGGTGATCGGGCTTTTCTTTAAAAGGGTGGTTTGCACGTTGTGTTGTGGTTAACAACTAGGCTGCGAAATCTGGGCATTTCGCTTGGTCTAGGGTGGTTTGCACGTTGTGTTGTGGTTTACAACCGGGCTGCGATATCTGCGCCTTTCGCTCGGTTTTGTGGTTAACAGCTAGGTTAAAAGGGTGGTTTTCATTTTGTGTTGTGGTTTACAACCAGGCTGTGATATCTGCGCCTTTCGCTCGGTATTGTGGTTAACAGCCAGGTTGCGATAGCCGCGGCAAATTTTGGTTTTTGGCTTTTAAAAGGGTGGTTTGCACGTTGTGTTGCGGTTACAACTAGGCTGCGATTGCGCCTTTCGCTCGGTCTTGTAATTAACAGCTAGGCTGCGATAGCGGCGGCGAAATGCTCAATGGTCATGTCACGGGCAGCTAATCTTTTTTTTTGTTCGCCCTTGAAATGGCGGTTGGCATAGTCTACTGAAAGAATTGTGATGGTAATGTTTTACTGGTTGTTCGAAGTGAAGCTGAAAAATGTGATGTTTTTTGAGAGACTGACAAGCTGTGATACTATAGTCAACTATAACAATTATTTTCGGGTGTTACAACTGGCTGCTGCTTAGCAACCCTCAGTTGGGAGGATTTGATGCTAACAGACAGTCAGTGGTTGTTGAAGTTGACGAGAGCTATTTTTTCCACCGCAAATACCATCGTGGTTACTTTTGTCGTGGTCAATCGGTAGTTGGGCTAGTTGAACGTGGTAGTGATCGTTGCTGGTTGGAAGTTGTTAATAGGCGAGATGCAACAACATTGGAACGCATCATAAGTGAGCATTTGTTACCAGGAACGACAATTGTCACCGATGCCTGGCGAGGCTACAACAACGTTGGTCAACTCAACAATGGCATATATGAACATCTCGTTGTTCATGCTATTAATTTTGTTGACCGTGTACACGGAGACATCCACACCCAAACGATTGAAGGGCTGTGGATGCAAGTCAAAAGGAAACAACGTTTCCAAGGCGGCACTAGTGCATTGTTTCATACATATTTAGCCGAATTTCAGTGGCGTCACAATCACAAAGAACATGTTTTCGGACAGTATTTACAACTGTTGTGCCACAATTTCGACATATAACTGTTAAATATTATTGGCAGAGTTGTCACTTTTCTATGACGGAAAGTGTATTGTATTTTTTTTTTTCCTGCATTTCCTTCTTTTCGTCTGTCATTTCATTTTCTCAGTGACCACACTAGCAGGTGGTACACACTTCATTGTTACTGAACATCCTCTTGTGTTTAGATAAGTTGTAGCCAACTATATCTTCTCTGCTATGTCGTTTCTACTACACATCTTGGTAATTTTAGATCCATTAAAGTAGATATGATATTGTTGCAGGTATAACGCAGCACTCTCTTCAATATACATCAAATGCATTAGATATTTAGAGAAACAGGCCGACAGTTTTTTTCCTTCTGAAATCCTGATTTGGCTTCTTCTTGTAATTGAATAATCTGATTGAATATGCCTTGTGTATTATATATATATATATATATATTGTGTGTATCTTATTTATCTTTCTTATAAAAATTCCACTGTGTGGAGGGAGAAAAGGAGCGGTGGGAAACATGTTTCAGCGCCTCAGTTATTATTTCAGGACGCTTAACGGCAGCAGTGAAAACATGATGATCTTAACGTTGCTACCCATCGACACAGCTCTCAGATGGATAGAAAATTATTCCTCCCCACGTCACTTCAGTCGATCGGAAACTATTTCTCCCCACGGCGCTTAACTTTAAACATTGCGCAGAAGTGAAAACACGATGATGGCTTCAATTATTATTTTACGGCACTTAACGGCAGAAGTGAAGACTGATGATGATCTTAACGTTGCTACCCATCGACACAGCGCTCCAATGGATTGAAAATTATTCCTCCCGACACTTTAGTCGATCAAAAACAATATCTCCCTACGGCGCTTAACTTTAAACATTGCGCAGAAGTGAAAACTGATGATGATGGCTTCAAGACACAGCGCTCCGATGGATCAAAAATCTCCCCACGTCACTTCAGTCGATCGAAAACTATTTCTCCCCAAGGCGCTTTACTTTAAACATTGCGCAGAAGTGAAAACTGATGATGATGGCTTGCTTCAAATATGATGATGATGGCCTCAATTATTTCACAGCATTATTGGTACGTATTGTTCCATATTTTGTATAACCTCTTTATAACCTCTTGACCTCTTTGTAACCCCTTGAACCCCGTGAGGCTCTGAAAGGAATGTTTTGGACAGTCAATAATAAGGGGCCGTTATTCGGAAGAGTGCCCAATTTTTACTGTTTGCTTCAAGTATTCTAACTGGAGTAAACTGCAAACTTTGCTAGCTACACTACAAGAGTGTCTAGCTCTACAAGGTTATATAGTAATTTACTTACGAAATATTACATCTGTACTCAAACATTACTTTTTTTTTTTTTACGGAACAATTCCTCAACAATGGCTAAAGTTAAAGAAAACGTGGGCCAATTTATTTTATATTTATGATGACCGTTTGACTGGGACACCCGGATTCAAACTGATACTGGTTTCCGTTTTGTTCCGAAGCAGTTGAAATGAAATAACATACACATAATACATCAGCCAGTGCCTAGCCTACCAAAAACAACTGTGGGTTATAACTGCAGCACCGTTTAAGTAAGAATGTAACACTGCCGACGCTACTTTCACAATAACGTCCAGATTGGGATAATAAAGAAAACATGGCGACAATGACAACATGCCACTTCGAATTAATTAACAGCTCAAAACGGCGCCGGAAAATATCTATTCTTCAACAGAAATATTAAGATTACAATAAAATCCATAAAACAAGAAACAGAAGCCACAGCAAAGAATACCTTTCAAGGAATTCCGATTACTTTTCCTAGTCGGCCTAGGCATTTTCGATGCCTCTTTCGCAGGTGCGTTACTTGTATCGTCCTTGAACTGCTTCAGTGACGTCAGTTCCGGGTTATCGTCTGCAACATTAGTGGGTCTGGGATCGTCGTCAGCCGACGACTCGTCCGCCGATCTTCTCTTTCTCTCTTCTGTAAAATTATGCCATCCCAATATCCCATTTAAAACATCATATAGGTAAACTAACTATAAGTAAACACTGTCTGGAGTTATAGAACGGAGTGGTGGAGGGCTAGACTGCGAGCCCTGTGTGACCTTTAGGTATTAGGGTACGACTGCATTATGATGATGATGTCTAGAAGTACCAAAGCAACTGACTGCGGTAGTTATTAAGAATATTCATTTCTGTTCTAATTCAACGGGCAATGAAGGCTGAGTTATTTACTTTTAATCGGTGTAATTTCCATGTTCTTCGCCAGGAAAGAAAGGCGTGCGTTACTAATACTACAGTCTACAGGTTGTTGTCATTATTTGTTTTCATATGCTATGCGCCCATGACGTTTAGCAGTAGAAACGGCATACCCGCTATACAGACGGGATTCAGCGCGATACTTGACGTGAGTATTGCCTACATACACACAAGTTATGCGATGCCTATATTAACATGTCAGCAAACTGCTTATACTTAAAGCTTCGGCAATATGACAAATTGTTGGAAAAATAAGTGTGACGCGTGTATAATAATTTTATTGTGTAACAAGTCTTTAAAAACTGTCTTTTTTTTTCAGTAAAGAAAATGTTAGCTGGGCCCTTGTACACTTTAAATGTCTAGTGACATGTTCATCCAAGTTGGTACATGTCCTGTTTAAGAATGACAAGTTGTGCATGGTATATGACCTTTTTGGGAATATGACTCATGTACTAGAAATTGTACGAGTCATAAAAAGCCATGACACCTCTCTCATCAATTAATTTCTAAAATTAATTAATTAATGTTTAGCAAATGGATGGAGAAAAACATTTTTTGCAGAAACATGCCACCCCAACAAAGCCTTAAAAAGTCATAACAGTGTTATCTGTAGTGAAAGTCATAACAGCGTTATCTGTAATGACCAGAAAATGTCATGTTTCATAAAATATCCTAAGGAAAAGGCAGAAACAAACTTCTTTGGACAGATTTTTTAGTAAAAGTCAAACCTGGTGAGCCTCAACTAGGCCCAAGTAGAGAAAAGAGAAAAACATTTGTAGATTCATGAAGCTTTATTAAGAAGGGACCTCTCATTCCAAACGTCATTTCCTCGTCCTTTCTTCTTAGCACCATCCTAGTAGGCATTTGACTCTTCTCAACAAAGTATAGTGAAGTTAAATTTTCATTTATCATACTGCTTCTGCATTTGTGTATTTTAGTATCAAACAGTTTTTAAATCTTTTTTAAAAACCTAAATAACAGTTGGATTTGTTCATGGGTACAGATCAGGGACAATGCTCACAGACTAGGTCAAGTACACAGAAGAAGTTTGACTAACCATTGGTGAAGGTAAGCAAGAGCAATGAATAATAGGAACAAATGAAAAAAGGTCAACTCTAAAAGTGCATTATCATTAATAAAGGATATTTCAGTAACAAGTCTTCATTAACAAACAAAAACAGAAATTATCCTAAAACATCAAAGTTAATGCCTAACAACAGTGTTATATAAACATGTACATTGACTCTGAATAAATAGGTTCAGTGAAATAAAATATATTTAAATAGGTTTCCTCATCCACTGGAAAAACACTTTTTAGGGGCCAAATTTCAAACATACAAAAATAACAAGTGCAGTTATTTGGGGGGGGGGGGGGGGGGGGGCGATGGAATAAAAAAAAAAGAAACAAATATTCTGGCCATGACGTGACATGAAAAACCATCCAGAAAACTAAAAGGCTGCTGTTCTTGAGGTGTATTTTTGTGTCCACATCTGTTTTACATAGCTGGCTTATTTGTATGCCATGCAGACTGTTGGTTTTTTGCCTCTCAGTCATGAGGCTCAAGACCACGCTGGGAAGCAGTCGTCAAAAACAAAAGTGGTAGCTTCTTCTTCTGTGACTGCCTTTAAAAGGGTGATTGGTGCCACGCATTGTGGTTTACAGCTAGGCTGCAATAAATAAGCCTTTCTGTCCAACACATCTGATTTCAGCAATACCATAATCTGTCGCCTTTTACAATGATTGTTAGTGGAGCAGTGAGACCCCTCCCCCTTTCCCCTCAAAACGGAGTTCTGGAACCCGTACAGGAATAGAATAGCAAAAATTGGTATCAAAAGCAAATGAATGTTAAAAACAGAAAACCAAAATAGAGAGGACAGCTGAAGCCAGTCAAACAAGAAAAGCAATACAACTGGTTAAAAAAAAACTTCAAAACCCAGTTGAAAGGCAATCTGTCGGAGTATACTGCCAGAGATAAACATCCACTGGAACCTACATTCAATGAGGGGACATATGATCGATTGATTTGATGACATTTACAAACATTAAATAATTAAGCTTACCAAGTGAACAGTCTGGGTTCAATACCTAGCACAGAATGAATTTATAACCTTTATATTTATTTTTGGAAATTTTATGTAAGTATAAACATTTTTTTAAATATGGATACGAAACTAGACAACTAATTCGATATAAAATTTTAGATACAAAAAACCACCTGAATATGAAGAATTCTACAAAGGACTTCATTTATAGCCTAGAGATGAAAGCAAGAAGAAGAACTTTTATCACAGAAAAAGACGTGCTGCATTTGTTAAATCACCTTGTCTCCAGAAACCACCTAAAACTTACCTTCAAACTGCTTCTTCACCTCCATCTGAATTTCTAGATTTCTCTGCTGCTGTTGCAAGTACTGGCGGACAAATTCACTTTGTCCTGCTTTATCGTCTTGCTGAAGCTAAGTTCAAAGTAAATCAAACTGCTCAGACACACTACAGGCTTCATGTGATACAACTAAGCATGGGCAGGTATCAGTACATGAAGGGATATATTCTGCTAGATCAGAGCTTTCTGAACATTTCATATTGGTGACACACCATTTAGACATGACACAATTCTGTCACTAAGTGATTTACTCTACTAGCAAACCGGAGGTTAACCCTTTGGAGACGGAACATTTTTGGAGTTCCCAAAAACTGTGAGCCTTCAGAAGGGGATTCTCTTAGTTTACACACACAAAATTATTATTTTTTCAAAGTGTTTACTTAACATACACAAAACTATATATTTGTGTAGGAAATTAAATCAACTAACAGAATATTTATGAATGAAACTAAAATCTCAACATTTATTCCAATTAACTATTCTGATTTGCATAATTTATGCAAGCATTTTTTCTTACTTCGGAACAAGCATGACTAACCCAAAAAATGTGGGTGCATTTTGTTATGGATAAAGCCTGAATAGATCCTAACACTTGTATTTTGGGAAGTAAGGCCTACAGAAGCCCTTTAGACACTTCTGGCACATGATTCTACTCCTTTTCCTGCCTCCAGTTATGTTTTGGTTGCTGTGATGCAAGAGTCCTTTTTGCCATTTGCACAGGTAATCCCACCAAAATATTGATGTAAAATTACAGAACACATCAAACATTCTCTAAAGCCGTCACTGTACAGCGCACATGTGCAAGAAATGCAGGAAGCAATCTGACTGGCGGGTATGAAAACCTGCCAGCCAATCTCAAGGCTTGTATTATATAGGGCCGCCCAATCAGCAGTCTTTTGGGCTATTTTGTGTCAGCCGATAAATAATCTGCGTCGTCTCCAGAGGGATAAACTAACCTCTAATAAGAGATATGGCCAACGTACATAAATTAGGTTAGTGTAACACACATTCACAATACAGCCGACACATTAATGTGTCCTGGCTCAGTTTTGGAAAGCTAGGGAAATATTCTGAACCTTAGTCATCAACATTATGTGCCATGCCAAGAAGTGTAAGTTGTCCCTGGCCTGCCACCTCACACGGCCATCAGAATCATCCAGCAGGTCTATTGTTGTCACATCCATGTCAAGCAGCCAAACCTTCCAAATATTTACCCATTCATCTTGCTCCTGTCCATCAAGCTTAGAGTTTTATTATTTTTCCGCATGTCTAAATAATCTTCACTGTCATTCTCTATCCAGCTGATGGTTTTTATCTACCTCTCCCCTCTCTCGGGTTAAGGTTTCATTCTGTCCCATGATATTAAAATTTTTACCCAGAAACTAAATTTTCCCTCCGTGAATTTTTTTTTTTAATGGACCATAGTAATGTTGTAAAAACAGAATGAGTAAATCAACAAAAACAGAAAGCAGAAATAATCAGCTCTACAATAAGACAGTCATGAGGGACAGGATAAATGCTGCAGCTAGGCAACCTTCATCAGCATTCTTTTCCTAACAGTTTTGATGAGCAACTTAACAACACACAGAACTGTTGATATCTTTGTGGTTATACTTTCTTTTTCCACAATATTTTCACCATGTATCTCCACTGCTAGCTTATGAAGTTTCAAAAAATGAACAACTGTGTACAGTGCAGACCTGATAAGGAGAAATCACTAGAAACCCAAGAAATAATTCTTCTTATCAATAATTCCTCTTATCCAGATAAGATTTCAAACAATAAAAATTGTCAGGGATAAAGTAAACAAATTATTCTTCACAAGAAAAATCTGCCACATCCAAGATCACCTTAAGCAGTTTGCACTGTAGTAACCATGGTAAAAATTACATTATTTTTAAGCTTAAAACATACGTCGGTTGCCTCGCATTTTCCATTATCCAATATTTTATATGGTCAATATTTTGGTGGCAGCCTTTGCCACCTTACTAAATTTTTCATGCACCCATATTATGCATCTGTGTTAACCTCATAGCCATGCTAACCAGAAACACTGACCAAAACTACTGTGTTAACCTCATAGCCATGCTAACCAGAAACACTGACCAAAACTACTCATAGCCATGCTAACCAGAAACACTGACCAAAACTACTGTGCGGATAAGCATATATTTATATATATATATTTTTTTCCCCCACCCACACTGTTGCCATGGCTTCATCACACAAATAATCAGCTAAATTAAATGTATGGGCAAATTTTATAAAGAGAAAATAACACTTACCGCAATGTTTGGAGCTTTTCCTGTAGTAGTGAAAATAATAAAGAGATAATTAGAAACGCATTCTAAACATACTCTGGCTGCTTCAAAATAATGTTATCTGCCATGATTTAAATAATAAGTACCTATACACTGCCTGCCATAATTCACCTGGGTGCATACTAGAGAATGTACATCAACAGATATTGAATGTGTTTCACAAATATATCATTAGGAAATCCAACAAATGAATTCTTCCGGCTGAAATACACAAGTAACTGACCACCTCGCCACAAAGATAACAGGTATTGGTACTCTGAAAAATGAGTGCTTAGAAGGGCCGAATGTCAGACAGGCCTGCGTGCCCAATTTGTAACCCTTTGAAAATAAAGTTTGTTCGTTCGTTCATTCGACTTTAGATTAACCACAACAGAAACTGTTCCATAAACCCACACTTAAACACTGACAGTGTAAATTAGATATGTATGTATGTATATGTATGTATATATATATGTATATTGTATGTATATTGTATATATATATATATATATATATATATATATATATATATATATATATATATATATATATATATATATATATATATATATATATATGTATATTGTATATTAATTCATTCTTAGCATTCACCAGTTGCAAACTCTGGTGGGAAGTTATGGTTGTTCACCCACTACTGGACTTTGATCTTGTTCTAGAACTTAAGTTTTGCGTGCACATCCATTTTACCGATCTGGTTTATTTGTGTGCCGACTGTTAGTTTTCCACCTCTCAGGCAGTTGGACTGTTACTTCAAAGAAAATACCCCTAAAGAGTTGCCTTTTACAACACGAATGGGGAAAAGGGGAGTGGGGGCTCTATGGAAAACCACACAGGATGTCAGTAAGGAAATTACAGTAGAAGTACCTTCATGTTCATCTCCAGACGACTGTGCTGCCTCTTGCTGTAGTTTTTCCAGCAACAGTTGCTAGATGTGGATACAAGGAGAGTACATACAATTGGTTTAACTGTCATTACTACAACTATGCATTCAACTCTGGGCAATGGGCTGGAGTTACTGATAATGAAATAACAAACATCTGTACTTAGGTGTACAGCTAAAATCTGTACAAGAAATACCACATTGGCTTTTCCCCAGCCAATCTGTATGTGCTTTGCAGACTTCAGTTACATCATGATGATGTTTTTCCACAAATGTAAGGTTCCTGTGTGGTTTTGTACCCTTCATTGGTTTCTGACAGACAGGAAGAAAAGTTCTGCAACATGTTTTCTATGGAAATGATACTTTAGAACCTGAAGAGAAGCAGGGCCTCTACCCCAACATAGCTCCAATACGAGCAAGCCATTTCAGGGCTCAAATAAACTGAACTGTACATGAGACTTACATCTCAGTCTTTCAAATAATTTACACACATGTACTTATTGTAGCTCTGCAATTTCTGATTTCATATTTACAACCCACATTAAATTACTTAAAATTCTAAGCCCGGTGACATGACAAGGTTCATTACAATACCGAAAGTCCTGATGCCATAGGTAGCCTGCACCATAAGACTTTCATGACTGTGACTCGGAAGAGGATGAAGAGGCAGCAGCCACATTAGGGAACAGATGAAGTCAACAAGTCATGGCACACTTAGCGTGTAGCCACAAAAGAATGGCAGAAGGCAAGGAAAATGACAGAAACACCAGACATTCAGTGGTTCAAGACTAAGACAAATGTGAGCTGACAGAAGTCTTCAAGGAATGTGCCAAAGAAGTGATGCATCAAACGTGGGAAAAAAAGATGAGAAATGTAGCACAGGACAGACATTCAGGTAAACCCAATTTCCGCATCAGTCTCATTACAGGGACCGATATCACATGTATCCTACGCCATTTAGCAAATGCTGCACCAGGGCTTGATGATGTGAGATAAAAACACAATTTACACACTAACAGCATTAGGAATGGATCAGCTCCTGCTGTCTGGGTTCATGGTCACCTCAAACCTCTAAGTAGATCTGGTAGGGACCACACCAAGGTAAATGGCTATAACAGTGGTCTCCAACCTGAGGGGCGCCAGAAGGTTTTAAGGTGGGCCTCAAGCTATTTTGAAATTGATTGCATTTGTAATAATCCGCTACATTATTTTTTTTCAGTTTAATTACAAATAAAATATTTTTTTACTATTACAAAATAAAAAGCTAAGAACATTTTTTGTTCTTATAAGCAAATAATATCTCTACAGTTAAAAATCTAATTAATATGATATTACGGGCACTTAAACATGAATGAAGAACACATTCTGACCAAAATGTATCTTCACACTTCCATTTTCCTTGTTGTGGAATCTACTGTCCTGCTCTTTCTAATTACATTTTGTTATGTCACATACTCAAGGGGGCGAGACCACACAAGGCTACAGGATTATTGCCATGCAAAATATGAGAGGTAATCTTCTTGAAAAGAACATGGTGCACAAGCGATCCCTGATTTTGGAGGCTAAGGGGTTACTGCTCCAACACCGAGAATATCAACCCAGAAAGGACATGGACCAATGCCAGTGTTTGCTCATCTATATAAATTAAATGTAAATGTTCCTTTGTCAGTGGTAGCTAATCTAAAGTTCTTCACCAATTGTTTTTCAGATTTTCTTTTTCCTTCTTCTTCGTGTTTGCTGGCTGTAAACTCTGGCGGAAAGTTATGGTTATTCATCCACCTCTGGACTGAAGTATTGTTTCAGAACCTGAGTGTTTCATGTGCATCCATTTGACAGATTTGACTAATATGTATGCAGACTGCTGGTTCCTTGCCTCTCAGGCAGATGCACTCCGACTTTGAAGGAAGCTCTCAATTAATCGACTCTTACAACATGCTTTTGGGTAGGCAGTGGATCTATTCTTGTTTTTCCTATAATAGGGCACCGGAACCCACACAGAGACATTCAGATTATGAAAACAACATTGCATTCAAACACATGCATGCTTTTACATAAGAGTGTCGCACAAAGCACGAACTACGTAGCTCCAGCAATGATCACACCGTTTTTTGTTTAGTTTGCCGCACCAGCGCACACTTAGATATATTATTCACACACACACACATATATATATATATATATATATATATATATATATATATATATATATATATATATATATATATATATATGTATATATGATGACCTCCTAAATGTATCTGCAGGTGCAAACTCTGTCAATTTAATTAACTATACGCATTGTAAACAAGTCACTATAGGTAAGTGAGAAAAGTAATATTTACAGGGAATTGTGCCAACACAAAAAGTACGATATGAGAACTGATGTTCACCGCCAATGACAGCAGCAGTTGCACATGCAATACTGCATAATGCACAAGTTCTGTGGCAACTTCTTGAATTTGCAGTGTTTTATATGATTCCAGATATGTTTCAATTAATATCTGAGAAAATTGCACATCAAATACATGTGCTTGCAATAATGGCGTGAAATCCCACCATGCATTAACTGTGGAAGATTTGTATTAATGTGAGCTGGTCTTGCTTGCCATAGCCCTGGGCTGTGAAGTAATGTAAGTGGAACAGCTCTATTCTCTGGAAAGACGGAAAGGTGCCAGGGTCATTTTAATATGCAGCCTTTGTCAATCAGTGTCTGTTGCTTAGGCGTTGCGAACGCGCTTCTTAATTCTGAGGTACCTGGTTTCAATTTCAACTGCAGAGGATTTAGTTGATTTACTTTGCCAAGTTGAAATATTTGGCTCTTCTTTGAACTTCTACCCGATATTATGGCGGCCAAACAAATACCCTAATAGGGCCTCAGTCGTGTGTAAAATGGGGACTTCCTGCCACGAACACATCGTGGCAAAACAAAGATTACTTGACAATTTCAAGAGAAGCAACACTGCAGACAATAGTAGCAGATGATAATAGTGACCATTTACAATTTCTGCAGATGATACTAGCGAACATTGACAATTTCAAGACACGCAACATTACAGATGTTAATATGCAGATGGCGGGGAGACCACGTGCTCCGGCGCAAATTAGAGAGTGTTCTTCCGATTAAACTCACCGCCAAGCATATCACCCCCTGCCGCTATGCGCGGCGCGGATGGGGATCTAAACTAGATGCATGGGACTCACGAGCAAATAAATTGGAGGAAGTTGCAGGAAATGCGGTAGCTGCTGCTCGTGAGTCCCAACCATCTAGTTTAGCCCACCATCCGAGCCGCGCAGGGGATAATGTCGGTGGTGCTGCATAGTCGCAGAAACAGGTCCGCAATTATTTAATTAACATATCACGGAGACCCTGTTAGAGCATTTGTTTCGTTATTCGGAGCCGATCCTAGTTTTGCCGTGATTTATTTATCTTACGACTGAGGCCCTGTTGTTAGGATATTTGTTTGGCCGCCATAATATGGGGAAGAAGGGGAGAGAGCCTAAAATTGTTGAGACCGTTTTCACTGTTTGACCGCACTTTGGTATGGAGAGACGACCCTAACTGAATACTCCAACAAATTTTCTCAAGAGAGAAAAGTATTTATAATAATTGTATACAGTGGTAGCTAATAAATAACACGGGAGAGGAGTAAAAACTAATTAAAAAGTCGGGTAGACTCCTGGTGGGTCTCTTACTCTTTACTCTAGTCTAGTCTAGTCCGTTCGGTTCGTTTTTTCCCAGAGTATCTAATGTAAACACTAGATAAATATAAGCAAATAACATACTGCTTTCAATCTTTCTATCAGCTGTATTTTGCTGCCACTTTTAGAAAGGCCCCTGTGTTCAAGCTCCCGCTTTAAATCAGTAACCCGCAGTTCGGCAAGAGGCGTCCCTTTTAGTGTCAGCGTTCCGCCAGCGTCAACCTCTGACGCCATTTTCTCCATCAACAACAGAAGCAGACGACAATGGGTGATTTCCGGCCTATCGCTCCTCAACGATCGGCTCGCTCCTAATTTATCTTTGGTATTTCTCCTTCAAGGGACATTTTATACTTGTAAATGTACGTGTAATGCAGTTAAGTTAGGTCATGTACCTGTCAAAGTTTGTTTTGTAGGCTGAAAATTTGTATATATTTCGGACTATTTTATGGTGGTCAAGTTGTATTCATATTCGCATGGCGGTTCATGTAATTGTAACAGTAAATAAAAACAGAAACTGCATAGTGAGTGAATTTGTAATTTAACAACTACTGTAACTGGTTTAAATTCTCAAGTCGAGATGGACAGAACCCAGGTTTCTTTCTAATCCTGTGAATATGTGTAATTTTAAGAATGAGAGTACTGTATTAAAGGGTCACCACAACATGAGGGTAGTGTACCACAACATGAGGGTAGTGTATTAAAGTGTCACCACAACATGAGGGTACTGTATTAAAGTGTCACCACAACATGAGGGTACTGTATTAAAGTGTCACCACAACATGAGGGTACTGTATTAAAGTGTCACCACAACATGAGGGTACTGTATTAAAGGGTCACCACAACATGAGGGTAGTGTACCACAACATGAGGGTACTGTATTAAAGTGTCACCACAACATGAGGGTACTGTATTAAAGTGTCACCACAACATGAGGGTACTGTATTAAAGTGTCACCACAACATGAGGGTACTGTATTAAAGTGTCACCACAACATGAGGGTAGTGTATTAAAGTGTCACCACAACATGAGGGTACTGTATTAAAGTGTCACCACAACATGAGGGTACTGTATTAAAGTGTCACCACAACATGAGGGTACTGTATTAAAGTGTCACCACAACATGAGGGTACTGTATTAAAGGGTCACCACAACATGAGGGTAGTGTACCACAACATGAGGGTACTGTATTAAAGTGTCACCACAACATGAGGGTAGTGTATTAAAGTGTCACCACAACATGAGGGTACTGTATTAAAGTGTCACCACAACATGAGGGTAGTGTATTAAAGTGTCACCACAACATGAGGGTACTGTATTAAAGTGTCACCACAACATGAGGGTACTGTATTAAAGGGTCACCACAACATGAGGGTGCTATATTAAAGGGTCATCACAACATGAGGGTACTGTATTAAAGTGTCACCACAACATGAGGGTACTGTATTAAAGGGTCACCACAACATGAGGGTAGTGTACCACAACATGAGGGTACTGTATTAAAGTGTCACCACAACATGAGGGTAGTGTATTAAAGTGTCACCACAACATGAGGGTACTGTATTAAAGTGTCACCACAACATGAGGGTAGTGTATTAAAGTGTCACCACAACATGAGGGTACTGTATTAAAGTGTCACCACAACATGAGGGTACTGTATTAACCCTTTTAGCACGGGAAGTTTTTCATAGGTCTAGCCAAAAACACGGAGCATTTTTTCAGTGAATTTGGTTATTACTTTATTTAATTTTTTTGACAGATTTCTGTTATTCTGACCCCAATGAAATAATATATCTATTTGAAGGATATAGATTGAAGTTCGTCATTTTCACAATATCGTTAAAATTAATTGATGTATATGCAAATTAATCTCATTTGCATATCTAAAAATAGAAAATATGAATTTGAATTTTCAACTTCAATGCTTGAAACATAAAACTAAAAACAAAAATTTTTTTTATTTGAAATCTTTTTATTGATCCTTGGCCTTTTTACAAATGTTGTAAGCAATTCAATAGTCAAAAACAGGTATATATATGTGAAACAGCAATAATATCTTTAGGTGACATGTGTTTTTCACCATCAGTCAGCACTAGAAATGGATGTGCCGGAGTGTCAACACCTTCGGGTGGATATACCCTGAGCCATGGTTGGGCTGTGGTCTGAACACAACAGCGTCCCCATCTGATTCCCACTATTACTACTAACACTAAATCCTGCATCAGTATCAACAGAATTAGTGTCATCACTTGATTCAAATGTTTTATCAACATCAAGTTTAGGGGCAGAAACATACAAGTCAGACATACTTTTAGCGGTTCAGGTCACTATCTAAAAAATTCAACAACAATTTTCACTTCGATACCAAACACTCGAAAGTCGCCATGTGTAAAGCTGATACCGCAGTTAATATAAATGAATCACTTTCAGTGTTTCAAAGTAGGAGATTTCTTAGCGGTTCGAGGCGAAACACGACCGGGCCGATCATCGGCCGTTCCGTGTTTTTGGCAAGACATCCGCCGGCCGATAATCGGCCCGTCCGTGCTAAGAGGGTTAAAGGGTCACCACAACATGAGGGTACTATATTAAAGGGTCATCACAACATGAGGGTACTGTATTAAAGTGTCACCACAACATGAGGGTACTGTATTAAAGGGTCACCACAACATGAGGGTACTGTATTAAAGGGTCACCACAACATGAGGGTACTATATTAACTCTTTGAGTCCCAGGGGGTTTTGCATCAGAGGCCCAAGGGGGGTAATATGATTTTGACTTTTAACAAATGCAGCACTTTAAAACAAACCACACAACTGCAGCTGATGTCCAACATACACAAATCATACATGAAAATAAACATAAATAGATAAGGATTAATATTAGCATACTGCTACAACAAACAATTATACTGTTAGTTAGTATTTAGTAAAGAAAACAGTGACTTAGTTTGAGAGGTAAGTAAATTATGAACAAGTTTTTTCCACTTACCCAGAAGCTGATCCCAAAATTCTTGATATAGTATATTCAAAATGCATCACAAAGGAAGGTACACCACTTATAAGTATGCACAGCCAATATTAAAGCAAAATTTGCAATAGTTGTTGTTCCATGGCAATTTTAATAACACTACCATAACATGTCAAAATATATTCTCCAGTGGCATAAACAGTGACTTTTCTAAAAACAAATGAATTCCTCACATAGCAAAAACTGTAAAGGCACTGTAAACATGTCAACCTATTCATAGATTTATATCTATGGTTTTAGATGATATAGATAGTAGTACTAGAAGCGCTGACATTTGGACTAGCTGGTGTCGTGTTACGAGGTCTTCTCTTGTGTTGCCATGGCAGAATTAGTCAGTTTTGTCCTCTTAGCAGGAGGTAAATTACGCACACATCCTCATCAAAACTTGACTCGTCAACGGTTTGGGGACATTTCACGTCGCTAATAACATTATCCAACTCCACATTACTTTATTCGATCCATTGTTTTATCAAATTTGATGATTCTAAAGCAGTAAAACGCTTTGCTGGGCGTGAAGACGATATCTGATCGGACATATTGTTTTCAGACAATTGTTTGGTAACGTAGTAGACCACACAAATATCTATTTAAAGCATTAAAAACTCACCAGACCCAAACGAATGCACTCCACGTGTGTTCACTACACACTTGAGAACCGGAAAGGAAGTTTAAATTGAGCGGTTCGCGTGTAATTACCGATAAGTGGTAAATTAAAAACCGTCACACGTCATGCGCTGTTTGGGCCGCCAAGTAGTAAAAAATCAGCGCGTGATGCGTTCCTTGGGACTCAAAGAGTTAAAGGGTCATCACAACATGAGGGTACTATATTAAAGGGTCACCACAAAATGAATGAACTGTATTAAAGGGTTACAACATTAGGAAGGTTGAGAGCTACTGTTTTAGAGTAAAGGATTGAGAAAAGTATTTTAAGAAAATTGATAAGGTATCCCAAATGTACCATCTTCTACATTTTTTTAAGTATTCAGTAATACATGTGTATTTTCTGTATAAGAATAGTAGGCTACTGGGAAGATTCAGGTTAGAAAGTGGGTGCTCTGTTATAGAGGCACCATCTTTAGTTTCCTTTTATCAAGACCTGTATGTAATATTTTCTTTCTTACCAATAACAGATTATCCTAAATACCAATTGAAGCACTGAACCACCCATACTGAGCTATGGCTGATACAGACTACAATTCAGATGAGTATCCTGGGGTAAGTTCAGTTCAATATCAGCTTCCATACTGCCTTTACAATGGTACCTCAAGACACAAACTTATTTCTTTCTTTGACTCCATTCGTGAGCCGAAATCTTTGTGTCTGAAGGTGTTAAGGACCTGAGGTGTGTTTGTATGTTATCAAAATCCGTAAGGGAAACAAAGAATAGTCACACTTTTACACCTCTTTTACCACTTCGGGTGTTGAAGGAGATATAAGGTTTTGCTTCTAGCTCTTCTGGCCACCTGGTCGATTGACACATTGTACTGTTGTAGAGTTTCTCTGATGTCATTTTTCCATCTTGTTCGTGGTCTAACTCATGCTGTTTGTCTCCTCTTTTGTTGTATGCTTTTTGAGATATGTTTGCATGGCATTATAAACCTTGTACATAAAACACACAAATTCAGTCTATGTGCATATAATTGTTGTACATTATGTAAACATTCATATGTACTCTTGCATCAGTTCCAGGGACTTTTTAACCCTACCAGTGTAGTTACCTTTCTTTCTTTACTATTTTTATTTAGTCATTATCATGCTGGCCAACTTTACTTCCCAGAACTTTACCATTGAAGGCTGGGTCAACCTGGCAGCCAAGGTCATTTTTGAATAAAGTTTGGCTCTATCAGGGCCCGAATCCACTATCTTCAGATCCACAGGCAAGCATCTAGCCACTACACCACATAGGCCAGGCACCCTCCCCCACTTATTGTATACACACAAAATAATGCCGCAGTTACATTGTTGTTGTTGATTTCCCCTGTGTGTTCTGGGGACCCTGTTTTGGGGAAGGGGATGGCCTTGACCTACTGCCCATGCCATGCAAGTCAACTAATTCAGGTTTGTCAGAAATCAGATGTGTTGTGCAGAAAGTGTCAGTGTACCTGGTGAAGTCAGGAGCCTAGGGCAGTTATGTTTATTAAATTCTTACTTAAAGAGGGATTTGAATACTCGACAACAGCTAGTAGGCAGGCATGCAGTTATGACATGTTGTTCAAATTCTTCATACTTTAGCTATCCACACAAGAACTAGGATGAGATGGCTAGAACTGCTGTTGTCTTTTGTGCTAAACATGTATGTTTTTATTCAACCTGCAGTCTCCATCATACAATGAGACCAGAGACGATGATGATGATAATGACAGATTTGAAGATGAAGAAGAGGAAGAAGAAGATGCAGAAGCAGTACAAGCAGAGTGCCTGGAGCTGTTCTCTCAGCGTGATTTCATCATGGAATCAAACATTCTCAGTGTGCTCAAAAGGTAATCATAGGGTTGTGACCAGCCTTCAGTATTTACATTCACAAAAGGTAATCATAGGGTTGTGACCAGCCTTCAGTATTTACATTCACAAAAGGTAATCATAGGGTTGTGACCAGCCTTCAATATTTACATTCACAAAAGGTAATCATAGGGTTGTGACCAGCCTTCAGTATTTACATTCACAAAAGGTAATCATAGGCTTGTGACCAGCCTTCAGTATTTACATGCACAAAAGGTAATCATAGGCTTGTGACCAGAGGTCAGTATTTACATTCACAAAAGGTAATCATAGGGTTGTGACAAGCCTTTAGTATTTACATTCACAAAAGGTAATCATAGGGTTGTGACAAGCCTTTAGTATTTACATTCACAAAAGGTAATCATAGGGTTGTGACCAGCCTTCAGTATTTACATTCACAAAAGGTAATCATAGGGTTGTGACAAGCCTTTAGTATTTACATTCACAAAAGGTAATCATAGGGTTGTGACAAGCCGTCAGTATTTACATTCATTTTTGTTTCTGAGGGGCAGAAATAAAATCCTTACCTCCAAAGTTTGTGGCAACTGCACTAGCCGTGCAGCGCTGAAAATACCCCCTGTCCTACATAAACTGCTCTAAAAAGTTGTATATATACACAGTGAATCTATTACCCCCTCCCTGAAGTGTACTACTCTCTCTCTCTCTTCTCAGATGTGTCCTTTCTCAGACTTCCTTCGTGTATCTTTTTTTTTTTTAGTGGTCTCTATTTTTCAATCTCTGTTCCTCTTTTTTTTTTTTTTTTTTTAATCCTCCTCTTTCTGAATTTCTTCACTCTATCTCTGGTGAGGATGTGTCTGTATTTATGCTCTGAAGTTTTCTTCTGTACCCTATTCCTTTTTCTGTTGTTACGCAGATGTTTCTTCCTTCTTTCAGTGACTTATGTTTTGTAAAGTATGCATCTGTCAATCATCTCTCCTAGGTACCTGCAAGCGGGCGGAGCTCCATCAACAGTTGTAGAGTTACTGTCCGTGAACTTTACCTCAATTGCTGGCATGGTCAATGTCATAGCCAACTGGTTGATCCAGACAGGTAGGAACAACCGGTGTACTTGACATTCACTGAAAACGAGTGACAGAATAGTTGATCCAGACAGGTAGGAACAACCGGTGTACTTGACATGCAGTGAAAACGAGTGACAGAATAGAACCTGAACTTGGCCTTCGGTCATAGATCACTTTGGCTGTACAGTGGTAACTGAATCAGTGCTCCTTCTGTATATCACACACGAAGAATCTCAGCACAGTACGACAGTTTGCTACCACTAACAAGAATCTAGATGTGCAGTCAGGGTACAGTTGTGTCAATTTGTATAAAAGAGGACGCCAAGTTGGCTGCCAAATCATCTCTGGCAACCATTCAGGCACCTGTAAAATGCATGCCATAGATATTCATTTCCAGGTAGATTTGTTCTGTCTAATTGTTGGAATTAGGCCTTTTCAGTGGCATATTCAGTCTACTGTTTCATTTTGCTTCTCACATATAAAACAGAAATGCGCTCTTTGAAAGTCACAATAAAGGAATAATCATCTCCCTTGCTGTCTGTCGTGGCTGAGGCTTGTAATCTATAGTGGCGTTTATCAGCTCATGCACTGACATCTTTCTGTACCATGGTAAAAGGCTATCCAGAATTTTCTCTGTCTCTCTTTCCATTTATTGTTTTAGTTGTCAGTTTTGCTGATTTAGACATATTTCCATGGTGTGTATGCGTGGCATCCTGATTGTTGTGGTGCGCCTCCTGGCTGGTTGCCTCCGACTTCAGCACCTTGTTTTGCTAGGGTAGACTGTGATCATACTCGAGGAGAGTAGGCTCATCCCTTTGTCTTTCGCCTTTACCTCGTCTGTTGTCCCATCCAGTTTCCCGCTGGGGGTTGAGACCCCAACCTTCAACTGGATTGCTGTGGAGAACAGGGTCCACCACGTGAAGGTGAGGTAGGCTTGAGCAAGAGAGACTTATGGACATTAAGAGTCTTGTATTGCGCATTATTTCTCCATTAGTGGAACGTAAACTCTATGGACCACTGAATTTAACAAAAATGAAATTTATACAAGAAACAAAACTGCTCATATAGACAGCTTATTTCAGGCAAACGAAAGAAGAAGAAGAAGTTGTCAGTCTTTGTCTCCTTGTAAATTGGCCCAGAATCAACTACTGTATTTGTTTTTACCCCTGAAATTTGTGATAAGTAGCTTTGTTTGGCAGCCTCTTTCTAAATATTTGGGTCACCATTTTGACTGGTCAAGTAATTGTTGCTTTCTTGCTAAATGTCCAGTATTTATTAGTGCTTGTATGTGTGTGGCTGTATGGAGAAAGTTAAAGTTAAACTTTGAGTGCCTGTATGGAGCAGAGAAAGTTAAAGTTAAACTTTGAGTGCCTGTATGGAGCAGAGAAAGTTAAAGTTAAACTTTGAGTGCCTATATGGAGAGAGAGATAAAGTTAAACTTTGTGTGCCTATATGGAGAGAGAGATAAAGTTAAAGTTAAACTTTGAGTGCCTATATGGAGCAGAGAAAGTTAAAGTTAAACTTTGAGTGCCTGTATGGAGAGAGAGATAAAGTTAAACTTTGTGTGCCTATATGGAGAGAGAGATAAAGTTAAAGTTAAACTTTGTGTGCCTATATGGAGCAGAGAAAGTTAAAGTTAAACTTTGAGTGCCTATATGGAGCAGAGAAAGTTAAAGTTAAACTTTGAGTGCCTGTATGGAGCAGAGAAAGTTAAAGTTAAACTTTGAGTGCCTATATGGAGAGAGAGATAAAGTTAAAGTTAAACTTTGTGTGCCTATATGGAGCAGAGAAAGTTAAAGTTAAACTTTGAGTGCCAATATGGAGCAGAGAAAGTTAAAGTTAAACTTTGAGTGCCTGTATGGAGCAGAGAAAGTTAAAGTTAAACTTTGAGTGCCTATATGGAGAGAGAGATAAAGTTAAAGTTAAACTTTGAGTGCCTGTATGGAGCAGAGAAAGTTAAAGTTAAACTTTGAGTGCCTATATGGAAAGAGAGATAAAGTTAAAGTTAAACTCTAAGTGCCTGTATGGAGCAGAGAAAGTTAAAGTTAAACTTTGAGTGCCTATATGGAGAGAGAGATAAAGTTAAAGTTAAACTTTGAGTGCCTGTATGGAGCAGAGAAAGTTAAAGTTAAACTTTGAGTGCCTATATGGAGAGAGAGATAAAGTTAAAGTTAAACTTTGAGTGCCTGTATGGAGAGAGAGATAAAGTTAAAGTTAAACTTTGAGTGCCTGTATGGAGCAGAGAAAGTTAAAGTTAAACTTTGAGTGCCTATATGGAGCAGAGAAAGTTAAAGTTAAACTTTGAGTGCCTGTATGGAGCAGAGAAAGTTAAAGTTAAACTTTGAGTGCCTATATGGAGCAGAGAAAGTTAAAGTTAAACTTTGAGTGCCTATATGGAGCAGAGAAAGTTAAAGTTAAACTTTGAGTGCCTATATGGAGTAGAGAAAGTTAAAGTTAAACTTTGAGTGCCTATATGGAGCAGAGAAAGTTAAAGTTAAACTTTGAGTGCCTATATGGAGCAGAGAAAGTTAAAGTTAAACTTTGAGTGCCTATATGGAGAGAGAGATAAAGTTAAACTCTAAGTGCCTGTATGGATAGAGAGAGACTGAGTTACAGCGATGGGTTTAGCCCTAGGAAACAGGTTGCTATAAGATTACAACCAAGAATGATTGTGAAGTTCTGAGTGTCCACGGTTATATTTGTGTTCTGTGATAGGTGTTCCACAAACTGAAGTCACAACTCTAGTAGAGAACCACATGACAGCAATGGTGCTACAGCATTTTGATCCCAAGAAAGCTGATTCCATTTTCAATACTGATGGCAACGTAAGTAGTTGGTCTCCTTGCTGTCTGCTGACCTGGATCTTTATTGAATCAGTTTATCCCTGTGTGGGTTCTGGGTCCCTATTGGGTTGGGAGGGGGGGGGGGGAATAGGCCCACTGCTCCATAACAAGCATGTCGTATAGGATGACTAATTAAGGGAAGTTTCCTTTGAAGTTGGAGTGCATCTGCCTGAGAGGCCAGAAGTCTGCATACTGATAAGCCAGATCTGTAAAATAAATATCCTGCAACAAGACCAAAGTTCAGAAGTGGATGAATGACCAGAACTTTCTTCCAGAGTTTATCACCAGTGAACATGAAGAAGAATAGGTTTATATGTGAGCTGAGACTATGTTGGGTGTCATTACGTGTGCAGTGTTTCATTGTTCTTGTCTGTTTTAAATATACGTTTGTATGGGCTTGAGGGCATTTGTTTTTATTGTTTATGTTTTCCGTAATAAAGTTTGTAACCGAAACATTGTGACGGACTGTAGTGTAGTTTATTGACTCCGTCCCTGTCTAATGTTGACAGGAATCAAAACTTATGCTTTTCAGTGGCATATTCCACTCGGCTTAGTTATTTTGTAACAGATTTCACTGAATCTGGATCTCTACCCTGTGGGGCTAACACTGATGGTGCATCCTTACCTGTGTCTTGCCTGGTGGCGAAGGAGTCTGGTCAGGTGAGCTTCGCCGGCCTCAAGACAAATCAAGTTTTTAGTGATTGTCTGTACTTATCCCATCTACACTATTCCGTATCCCTAAGGTTGTGCATTGCTTTCAGAAATTTACCTGGACATTTAACATCAGGGAGTCGAGATGGTGTAGCAGCTACATGCTCGCCTGCGGATCCAAATGTCATGGGTTCAAATCTGTTCAAAGCTGGACTTTAAGAAACAAATGACCTTGACTCCCAGATCAGCCCAGCCTTAAATGGGTACCAGGTAAAGTCCTAGAAAGTAAAGGCGGCCAGCATGATGTTGCCCACAATACTCACTGAGTGCTGATTGGCTATAACATATAGGTCACGTACTACTGTATGTGCCCAGTACTACTGTATGTGCCCAGTACACCTGAAGACATGGACGAGGGTCCTTTACTGACAATTTTACGTAAATAACTGACAATTTTACGTGAATACTTATCTCTACATTTTGCAGGTGCCTGAATGGTTGCCAGAGATGATTCAGCAGCCAACTTGGCGTTCTGTTTTCTACAAACTGGCAGAACAGTACCCTGATTGCTTGTTCCTCAATTTTACCATTAAGGTATGTGACCAGATTTTCTTGTCTTTACAGGTGTGATATTCATTTCACGTATTTATTAGTCTGGCACAAACAAAACAGGAAGAGCCTTCTGCTGTACCTGACCAACTCAGTTTTCTGTATTCGGTCCTTAGCAAAAAAAGGATATTGGGTAGTGGTGTCAAGGCAGCCTCATGATGTTACTGCCCGAGATTTGGACAAGTCGAGGAGAACAGTGTAATTATATAATCCTTGTTTGTCATTTTGTCACTGACAGTACAACTCTTGGAAGGCTTGGCAGTGGTTAGCATTGCCAGCTCAGGGGCAGGTGTTTAAACGTCTTTGTCCCCATGTAAGTTCGGGGGCCCCATTGTGGGAGGAACATAAATAAAAGAAACCCACCCCTTCCCCACAACAAGCATGTCATAAAAGGCTACTAATTAGGAGTGTTTCCTTCAATGTTAGAATGGATCTGCTAGATCTGTAAAACAGATGTGCACTCAAATTACAAGTTCTGTGACAGGAAAGTCCAGAAGTGAATTATTTTTTTCTGACAGAAATGAGAGCACGCAGAGATGCCTGACAGTTGAAAATGGTCCGTATTTATCCATGCCCAAATTGTCTTGCCTCCACAGATGATTTCTGATGCTGGGTTTCAAGGAGAGATTACCTCAGTGTCGACAGCCTGCCACCAGATTGAGGTCTTTACACGTGTTCTCAAGACCTCTGTTGCTACCTTTCTGGAAGGGGGGGAGGAGGCAATAGAGAAACATCTTCCAGAATTCACCGTAAGTAATTTGTTTTTGCTGCATGTTAGTCAGATCCTACAGATAGTAATCACTAGAGTCGCTGGCCATAGAAACACTTGATGTTGTGATTTCCTAACTTTTGATGAATAATTGTTAAAATCCTTTATTGCTGCAGAACAAAGTTAGAAAATTACGGCCTAATGTTGAAAATCTGTTTAGAGCTGACACCAAAGATATAGCAAAAAGTGTTGTGTAAATGAAATCTGGAATCACTTTCCTTAGTAATTAAATCTGATCAGTGCTGATTAAACAGCAAACAAAAGTTTTGATCTTTTATCATCTTGAATTTTCTTTGTATTGTTTTAAATCTTTTAGAAAAAGGCAGATATTATTTAACCGATTTGTCCAGAAAGACTTTACTCCAGCTAACAGATATTTGTTGCGGAATGAGTTAAAGTAATAACACTTTGAGGGAGAATGGGTTAAAGTAACAGCTGGAGCAGAGTAGGTTAGTGTAGCCACTGGGAGTAGCAGGAGGAATTAAGACAGATGTGTCGGATGCGTATAACACATGCATTGTTTGGTAGCTGAAAATCAGTTTCTGCCTCGACAGAAAATGGTCTGTCACGGGGAACACACCTACCTCTACAGTCAGCTACTGATGCACATGGCAGCCGAGGAAACCAAGGGAGGGGCCAGCATGAGGAGGTTGTGCCAGGAGCTACAGAAGGCTGCGGTGGCAAAGTGAGTAATCAGACACACACCTGAATCAGGTATGTTTCTGGTCTGTTTGGTCACTTTATTCTTTTGTCTTATAATGCTTAAAAAAAAAAAAAACATTGGTCGTGAACCCATAGGAATTTCTTTAAACACAAATAATACTTTTGTAAAATATTTTTTAAACAATGTTAAAAATCTATGTGCCTTTTTAAACTTTAAAAAAAATTGAAATTTATAAAGATATATAAAGGGAGTAAACAGCGAGACTCCGTGGTGTAGCGGCTAGACACTTGCCTGGGGATCCGAAGGTCGTTGAGTTCAGGTCTTTTCGGCGTCGTACTTTTTTTTTTTAAACATGACCTCAGCTCCCAGGTCGACCCAGTCTTATGTGGGTACTAGGTAGTGTCCTGGAATGTAAAAGTGGCCAGCGTGATGCTGGTAACATCATCTACTAAATGCCGATTGGTTTATAAAATGTCTCTCTCTTTGCGTTCACTGGCTGTAAACTGGCGGAAAGTTCTGATCGTTCGTTCTAGACTCTAGTCCTGATCCAGAACCTGTGTGTTGCATGAACATCCATTTCACAGGTCTCACTCATTTGCATGCAGACTGTTGGTTCCTTGCCTCTCAGGCAGATTTACTCCGACTTCGAAGGAAGCTCCCAATTAGTCGACTCTCACGACATGCTTTTGGGCAGGCAATGGGCCTATTCTTGTTTTCCCCACAGTGGGGCCCCAGAATCCACACTGGGAAGTTTATCAAATATAGGTCTAGCCCTATGTGCCCATTGCAGCTGAAGGCGTAGAGAAGGGTCCTTTACTTCACTTTACTTATACTGTAATCAGTAAACAAGAACAGGGTGAATCATTAAATGGAATCCATTCCTCGGGGCCTGTAACAAGTATGTATCTGGTAACTCATGCCTGGAACCTGTGATAATTACACGAGATTCACTGACACATGATGACAAGATATCACACCAGATGATAACCAGTACCAGTCAGCTTCACATCGTCATAATCACAAACAACAAGTGGTTGCTGCAGCTAGAATGCCTTCATCAGCACATGACATGAATAGGCAATGTTACATTCCAAACAAGAATACACAAAAATCACTTAACTGAGATCTCTCCAAGAAAAATCCCCATGTCTGCCTGACGTGTTGAAACTCTGAAATTCTGTGCTTGCCCTGTGTATGTTTGTAATTATTTGAAATATTTACTGACAGAGGTCTGGAGGTGACCCCAGTAACTACAGCTCTTGCACATGCCAACGAGTTCCCACGAGCCTGCCAGGCTCTGTCGTCCATGTTGTCCAGGCAGGCCTTGAACCCAGCGGACATCACTGTGGTGAGTTCTCCGTTATGATCATCATCATTTGCCGTGCTGGTAAGCACGGTCAGGTTTGGCCATCTCACATTTCACCAGAATCATGGATCAGTTGTTTTGTTGGTCTCACCTGCATCCATGTTGCCAAGTCATCCAGGTATTTATCTCTTTGCCTTCCTTTTGCTCTCTTTCCATTATTCTTGTAGGTTGTTACCAAGTTCTCGAGTCCGTCGTAAAAAACGCTAACCATCTACATCTAAAAGTTCTGATATGTTTACCACTTGAATCTTTTTCTGTGAGGTCTGCTTCATTTGCTTTTCTATCCCTGCATGATATTCTTTGCATTCTTCTTAACAACAAAAAAAGCTCTACTGCAAGTTAGTGTGCGAGTTGTGTGCATCTTATTTATATTAGTCAATGCTTGCCCCGTCTTTATCATTTATACTTTGATACACCTTTATGTGCTTCTACCATCTTGGTCGGACCCTTTGGCTTAGACGTTGCGAACAAGCTTCGCCATGATGCCGGATTCAGTCTTATTTGCGGGTATCACAGCCTAGCTGTAAATTACGACAACCATTTTATGGGCGAATGGAGAAGAAACAGGCAAAGAATACAGTGTCTGTAGGTTACTGTCTATTTAGGTCTGTCTGTGGGCTACTGTCTCTTTATGTCTGTCTGTGGGCTACTGTCTCTTATGTCTGTCTGTGGGTTACTGCCTCTTTAGGTCTGTCTGTGGGTTACTGTCTCTTTATGTTTGTGTGTGGATAACTGTCTCTTTGTGTCTGTCTGTGGATTGCTGTCTCTTTATGTCTGTCTGTGAATATGTCCCCATGTTACGAGTGCAATACTTGTGCACACACATACACACACTAGCTCATCTGTCAGTGCAGGCTCTACTGTCCTGTACTGGATTAATGTCCTGCACTTATATCCCACAGCTGTACAAGATGTGCAGATTAATGTCCTGCACTTATATCCCACTGCTGTACAAGATGTACAGATTAATGTCCTGCACTTATATCCCACTGCTGTACAAGATGTACAGATTAATGTCCTGTACTTATATCCCACAGCTGTACAAGATGTACAGATTAATGTCCTGTACTTATATCCCACTGCTGTACAAGATGTGCAGATTAATGTCCTGTACTTATATCCCACTGCTGTACAAGATGTACAGATTAATGTCCTGTACTTATATCCCACAGCTGTACAAGATGTACAGATTAATGTCCTGCACTTATATCCCACTGCTGTACAAGATGTGCAGATTAATGTCCTGCACTTATATCCCACAGCTGTACAAGATGTGCAGATTAATGTCCTGTACTTATATCCCACAGCTGTACAAGATGTACTCGGAAGGAGACCCGCCACCTGTTGCACTTATCAGAATGCCAGACTTTTTAGGTGAGTGAGCTAGAACTGATTCCACTAGCTCTGTTACAGGGAGGTTTATCAAATGCAGTTTCTTCTCCATTGTTGTAATAGTCACAATAATTCCATAAAGGTTCTGCTTTAGATATGTCTTGTTCTTTTTCTCGTTGATCGGCTGTCAACTCCACCAGAAAGTTCTGGTTTACTTCTGCACTTTGGTCTTCTTTCAGAAATTAGTTTTCCATGTTTGTACAGTTTAAAGATCTGGCTTACTTGTATGCAGACTGTTGGTTCATCGCCTGTCAGGCAGATGCACTCCGACTTTAAAGAAAACACCCCTCATTAGTGGCCTCCTATGGCATCTTAGCGGGACAGTAGGGCTATTCCCCCTTCCTTTCAAAATGTGGTGCCAGAACCCACACGGAGAGCGTCCATCATCAGGTATAGTTACTTGTTCCATTGCCAGACTGGTTGGAGCCCAAAACTTGCACTTGTCATAACTTCTCACAACCAAAGAAGGCAAAGCTCTCATGCAGAAGACTCGGGTTCAGTCCCCAGTAAGGGATAAAGATTTTTTTTCTGCAAGGGGCAAAAATACAAATCCTCAGTTGATGGTGACTACACTCACCATGTGGCCATAAATCCTAAGGCTCATGCTTCCCTGTGCCACACCAGGTGCTGGATACAGGCAGTGATGAAAGACAGTTACTACTGGACTGATATAACACTAACTAATTTAATCATTAGAAATTTAGTAATTAGTTTGCTTTGCTTTACATGGTGGTGCAGAACACACTCCAGCATTATTGGCTGTTTGTGATTTTACTAGGCAGTTTTATGTTCAGTTGTTTGCCATTGCTTTCTGAACGGTCTATGCTTGATGCCATTAATGAAATCAGTGGACAGGTGACACTTAACTAATCCAGTTTTCCTGAATGTCCATGTCTGTTCCCACATGAACTACAGGAGCTGTTAACTTGACCAGTGAGTCAGTTTGAGTGTTAACTTGACCAGTGAGACAGTTTCAGTGTTAACTTGACCGGTGAGTCAGTTTGAGTGTTAACTTGACCAGTGAATCAGTTTGAGTGTTAACTTGACCAGTGAGTCAGTTTCAGTGTTAACTTGACCGGTGAGTCAGTTTGAGTGTTAACTTGACCGGTGAGTCAGTTTGAGTGTTAACTTGACCAGTGAGTCAGTTTCATTGTTAACTTGACCAGTGAGCCAGTTTCAGTGTTAACTTGACTGGTGAGTCAGTTTGAGTGTTAACTTGACTGGTGAGTCAGTTTGAGTGTTAACTTGACCGGTGAGTCAGTTTGAGTGTTAACTTGACCAGTGAGTCAGTTTGAGTGTTAACTTGACCAGTGAGACAGTTTGAGTGTTAACTTGACCAGTGAGTCAGTTTGAGTGTTAACTTGACCAGTGAGTCAATTTGAGTGTTAACTTGACCGGTGAGTCAGTTTGAGTGTTAACTTGACCAGTGAGACAGTTTGAGTGTTAACTTGATCAGTGAGACAGTTTGAGTGTTCACTTGACCGGTGAGTCAGTTTGAGTGTGTGTGACCTTGATTTGTCTCCTGCACACAGATCTTCTGGTAGATGCCTTGTACAACCCTGCCAGCAAGATCAGCCCTGAGCACAAGGCCAAGTACGTCTTTCTGCTGGCTTACTCCGTCAGTGTCGTAGAGTCTTCCCGTAGGGGAAAAGGTCAGTAAGTATCTGCTGCATACTATATTCATTTTTTGACATTTTACACATGGAGGATGGTAATATTCCAAAGGATCTGTATGGTGAACTGGAAGCAGGAAAAAAGCTGTGCTATAAGGACACATGCAGACACGGCCTGAAAGATGCCAACATTTACACAGACACTTGGGAAGAGATCAGCTGCAGACTGACTCCTTTGGAGGCAGACAGGGAAGGACGGTCTGTCCCAGTGTGAAAGAGTTCTAATGCACAAGCCATAGAGAGGAAACATTTTAGAAAAATCCAGGCTCAGTTTAATAGAGTTAGTTCACTATGTGGCAAACACTGCCACTCCCACATGGCACTTTACAATTGTAGCAGACGCTGTTGACAAAACCTGCAGCACAACTCCCTGGTTTCCAGGGACTGACAGTTGTCTACTGCTCCATTTATTGTTACTAGTATTATAATCTGAAAGAGATCACTTCAGAGGGTCTTGCATTCTTTAAAAGCAAATCCTGGGATCAAACACTTTTCATTGAGCGATTTTTTTTTTCTTTTAAATTTTAAATGGCATTGGCAAATGTAGCCTTTTGCAAGTTGGAAAACAAGCCATTAAAAGATGCCGATGGCAGTGGGAAACAAAAGATGCTATATTTCACTTGTGCTGTTAGAATTATTTAGGTCTTTTTCTTTGTGTTCACCAACTGTAAACTCCAGTGGAAAATTCTGGTTGTTTGTCCACTTCTGGACTATAGTCTTGTTTAAGAACTTGAGTTTTGCATGCACATCCGTTCTATAGATCTGTTTAAATGCTATATATAACTTGTACTATATATTGCTGTATATTGCTTATACTGTGTACTCTTGAATATGAAAAGTGGACAATTAGCAGACAAGCTGAGAAACTTCTAGTGACAGTATAGACAGACAATACAGACAATACCACAGACAGAAAACAAACAAGACCGTCCTCCAAGAACTACACAACAACTGTAAATTGATTAGACAAATTTGGCAGCTAAGAATGTATGGACCCTTATCATGCCAGTGACTCATCCAATATATGATGCTTGGCTAATAATTTTGTAAAGCAGTTGACAGTGGAATGATGCTGTGGAAAGCCTTTACTTCCCTGGACCTTAGTTGGAACCCATGTTAGGCTGGCTTAACATGGAACCTGAGGTCATTTTTGAAACAAAAATCTGACTCAATGTAAATTCATACCCATGACCTTCAGGCTAGCAGGCAAGCGTTTAGCTGCTGCACCACATCCGCTTTATTTGTTATAGGCAGCTGGCAGTGCTGTTTTCAATAGCAGACAGCGTGGTACCAGGCACAGGATGTAAGTGATTTATTGAATATGAAAGTATATAAGGCAGGAGAGAGGCAAGAGTGCTAGTCTTTTCAACCCAGACACTGGCAGAAGGCTGTTTGTCTCATACCTGATTTATATGAGTGTTTAGGGAGTCTGCAGTATATAAACAGAAGATGCTGACTTGGTCTGTTCTATTCAGGTGTTTGTGGAAATCTTCTTCATAGTTATATGATGATGGTTAACTGGTATTATGTTTCTCTTGCAGGCCGTAGATTGAATAAGGAAGAACTGAAGTCAACAATCCAAGCAATAGAGAAAACACACACACTTTTGTCCAACCACAAAGGCTCCTCGGATCTCATAGCTGAAGTCTCGACATTGTTTTCCTGTTTGAAGTAGGTGACCACTGAGTTTTCCTGTTTGAAGTAGGTGACCACTGAGTTTTCCTGTTTAAAGTAGGTGACCACTGAGTTTTCACTGTTTAAAGTAGGTGACCACTGAGTTTTCACTGTTTAAAGTAGGTGACCACTGAGTTTTCACTGTTTAAAGTAGGTGACCACTGAGTTTTCACTGTTTAAAGTAGGTGACCACTGAGTTTTCACTGTTTAAAGTAGGTGACCACTGAGTTTTCACTGTTTAAAGTAGGTGACCACTGAGTTTTCACTGTTTAAAGTAGGTGACCACTGAGTTTTCACTGTTTAAAGTAGGTGACCACTGAGTTTTCACTGTTTAAAGTAGGTGACCACTGAGTTTTCACTGTTTAAAGTAGGTGACCACTGAGTTTTCACTGTTTAAAGTAGGTGACCACTGAGTTTTCACTGTTTAAAGTAGGTGACCACTGAGTTTTCACTGTTTAAAGTAGGTGACCACTGAGTTTTCACTGTTTAAAGTAGGTGACCACTGAGTTTTCACTGTTTAAAGTAGGTGACCACTGAGTTTTCACTGTTTATGATGTTTAAATTTCAGCAGTAGTTAAGTGTGGTTTTACAGAAGTAGAAAGTTCCCTCAAGTTATGGTTTGTGTCTTGTGCCTGTAACAAGCTTGTCTTTCATATTGTTAGTATATTTGTTGGTTAACTCTTTGAGTCCCAGGGGGTTTATCATCACAGGCCCAAGTGGTAGTAGAGAGAGAGACACCCTGTGTTCATTGGGCTTCTAGGTAAGGAACCTATGAATATATGAAGACTCAAAGAGTCCAGTTTAATGTTGGTTGTGTTTAAGTTAACAGTTTATGTCTGGTGTGTTTAATAAACTAAAGTTAACCATTGTCTAATGTGTTTCCATGAGAATGAACATTTCATATCTAGTTTTTGTGTGCTGAATTTCATGGCTCATATACTATTATGCTTATCATGAAAGATTATCAAACCAAGCGAAAAGTAGTAGAGTCAGCTTCACAATAACACAAACCCAAACGGCAAGTGAACGTTGAGGCTATAAAGCCTTCATCAGCACATTACATGTACAATACCACAAATACGGACAAGAATACACACAAATCACTTAACTGATGTATCTCAGAGAGAAATAACATCTGCCTGGTTATTTGAATCTCTGACAGATGTGCTTAAGTTAACAGTTCCTACCTGGTGTTTCTGCAGTATGAAGTTGAAAAGCTGAGGACTTGTATGCAGTCATATTATCTCAGAGATTTTGCCTTCTTATCCAGGTTCCCTGTGGTGGGGATGGGAGTCCTGCACTGGGTAGACATCACTGTCTCAGAGCCCAATTTTTTCAAGCTCAACACAGATCATACACCTCTCCATCTGGTTCTAGTGGATGAGGTAAGTTGCTTTGTTGCTCATCTGTTGTCAGCTGGTTTTTGAAGTACACACCACGTAGCTGTCATTGACCAGGCTTCTTCTTTTATATTTTCTGCAGGGTAAGTTTGGCTACTCTACTAATGGATCTGGTTCATACTGAATACATACAGAAGAATAAAGGCAGTCTTTCATGTCTGTCAGATTCTTCTTCTTATTTTTCTTAGTTTTCACCAGTTTTGAGTGGTGAAAAGATATGGTTGGTCTTGATTCAGAACTTGAGTATCGCATGCACATCCATTTTACAAATCTGGCTTATTTATTTGGTTTAGGTTTGGGTTAAACAACGGATTAACAGCATGGCTCAAGGGTAGTAAGTAACCCATAAGTGCTCTGTTCTATTTTAACTCAAGCCTGAGTCCAAAGTTCCCAGCATAGTGCACAAACTCTTTAGCACCACTAGGGATCCTGAAATACTGTAGGTAGATTTGTTACCGGGCAGTACCATTAGGCTACTCTTTTTGATTTCTAACTGCCAAGGGACTTTTTCCAAGCATAATACACACAGGCGTCCCATTTTAATACCTAAAGACCAGGGGAAATTACTAGAAATCCACGTGAAAAAATCTCCGCCTGAGCCAGGGACCTCCAGCACTTGAGGCGGACACCATACCTCGAGATCACTCAGATTGTATGCTGATTGTTGGTTCCTGTCCTGTCTAGCAGATGCACTCCAACTTTGTAGAAAGCACGCCTTATTTGTTGCCTCCTGCGGCATGCTTGTTTGGGGGGAGGGGGGGGGGCTGGCAGTGGGTATGTTGTTTGTTCTAAAAAAGTGGAGTCCCAGAAGCACACAGCCAATAAGTCAGACAGCCACTGACACTGTCAGCATCACAAGTGTCGGCTGCTAAGTACGAGACACAGAGCATTTGTGCCAATGTGCCAAATGCAGTGATGTCAATTCTGGACTGCCATTCTAAGGGTTAACTCTTTCGGTGACAAGGGATGTGTCATGTGTAGATTTATATCTAAAATAACTGTCCTCTGGTACTGAAAAAGTTCATGCAGAAGAAGAAAAAGATTATAATGCTGCAAGTTTCTTGTTTAATGTTGGTTTTTTTTTTTCTGTACACACGACTATTGCAGATAGTGTCCAACCATCTGTTGTTGCACCAGAGGGCTCTGGATTTGCTGACTCGACTGTTTGAGAACACTTACGATGAGCTGGATGTTCTGGTTCGGGTGGGTATTTGTTGTTGATGTCTCCTGACGGCGAATGTTTCTGCTAGCCAGACACTGATACTCATGTTCCCTAGCTCAGAACGGTTCTGTAATTTATGTTTTACCGGTCATCTCATTGTATTATATCATCTCCTCTTAACAGGAAGAGGCATGGACAGAGTTGATGTCATCAGTGCTGTAGACGCTAGATTAGGGGATAATGATGAATTGCTGGCACTAATGTGATTGCATAACCTGAGAGTAAAGCTTGGTGAAGCACATCTCTGCCGTCTTTGAGGTCAAGACAGGAGATACTATCATCCAATTCTCATGGGAACAATTAGTAGAGGAACGTTGAAGTGGCTGCTGCATAGGGTGACTGAGCAGGCCTGGGAATGCCCAATGTGCAGTGATGTTGATTGTGGTAACATAAATTTACTCTTGTGTGAGATCATCTGCTTCATGTATTAGATCAGTTACTGTAAGGTGCAGTCCATTATCACATCACTACTATTTAATATTTACAATACTAGCGGATATGGTTGTGGCAGTCTTTATAAACAAATAATCCACTGTTAAACCTCTAGGCATAAACCTCTGGGCATGTACCATCTCTCTCTGCGACAATCTGTCTCTCCAGTCTACTTTAGACCAGCCAACCTGTTTGGGTCTGAGCAAGCAACTTGCAGTGTTCAGATGCTTCCTCACAGCTAGTCTCCTAGTGTTACATTATCAGTTCAATCTGCTTTGCCTCTTCCATACCCCAGACAAGATTCATACATGATACAAATGACCGCAGCAGCATACACTTCATATGTGGGGACGTTCAAAGTAAAACAAGGAGTCTCAGACTCTCATATAAGGGGTCGTTTGGTTGAAACAAGAAATCTCAGACTATCTGATTATGAGATATTCAATTAAAACAAAGAATTTCATACTATTGGATCATGAGATATTCAGTTAAAACAAGACATCTCAAACTATCGGATTATGACCTTCGATAAAAACAAGAAATCTCAGACTATCGGATTATGACCTTTGATAAAAACAAGAAATCTCAGACTATCGGATTATGACCTTCGATAAAAACAAGAAATCTCAGACTATCGGATTATGACCTTTGATAAAAACAAGAAATCTCAGACTATCGGATTATGACCTTCGATAAAAACAAGAATTCTCAGACTATCGGATTATGACCTTCGATAAAAACAAGAAATCTCAGACTATCGGATTATGACCTTCGATAAAAACAAGAAATCTCAGACTATCGGATTATGACCTTCGATAAAAACAAGAAATCTCAGACTATCGGTCCACATCAGCCCTTCCCAGATAGTCTCACATGTCAAACACTTATATCATAATCTAAACCTGATCACACTGCTACTGCTGCAGACACTATGAATGACCTTACTGTACCTTATTTAGGATGTGAATGTAGGGTGACCATAGGTCCCGTTTTCACTGGGACAGTCCCATTTCCTAGGGGTGCCTTGACCGTCCCGTCAGTACTCTGACCCCCCCCCCCCCACACACACACACACACACACCAAACGCCAGTGGACCTGTTTAATATAAATTTAGGAATAAGTTCCTAAAATGTATGTTTTTTAATGATTAAATAGTAATAATAATAAATCCTAGAATAAATTGTGGAGGGTGGGTGTGGGTAAGTTGACTTGCTTGGGATGTCCCCAATCTTAGCTCAAGATATGATGGTCAGTTTGTGAATGTAACCTTTGGTTGAGCATGTCCACGACTGCTTGTGTTTGCTGTTGGCAGCTGGAGCTGAAGAAGATGCTGCTGGACCGCATGCTGCATCTGCTGCACAAAGGCTGCGTGATGCCGGTTGTCACATTTATCACCAGGTGTGTGGAGGATACGGACATCTCACTGGTCAGACATTTTGTCACGGAGGTAAACCAGCTGGACATGTCTTCATATCTTCATCTTCGTATCTTCACCTTCATATCTCCACCTTCATATTTAATCTTCACCTTCATATCTTTACCTTCATATCTTCACCTTTATATCTTCACCTTTATATCTTCACCTTTATTTCTTCACCTTTATATCTTCACCTTCATATCTCCACCTTCATATCTAATCTTCACCTTCATATCTTCACCTTCATATCTTCACCTTTATATCTTCACCTTCATATCTTCACCTTCATATCTCCACCTTCATATCTTCACCTTCATATCTTCACCTTCATATCTCCACCTTCATATCTTCACCTTCATATCTCCACCTTCATATCTTCACCTTCATATCTAATCTTCACCTTCATATCTTCACCTTCATATCTAATCTTCACCTTCATATCTTCACCTTCATATCTAATCTTCACCTTCATATCTTCACCTTCATATCTAATCTTCACCTTCATATCTTCACCTTCATATCTCCACCTTCATATCTTCACCTTCATATCTTCACCTTCATATCTCCACCTTCATATCTTCACCTTCATATCTTCACCTTTATATCTTCACCTTCATATCTTCACCTTCATATCTCCACCTTCATATCTAATCTTCACCTTCATATCTTCACCTTTATATCTTCACCTTTATATCTTCACCTTTATATCTTCACCTTCATATCTTCACCTTCATATCTAATCTTCACCTTCATATCTTCACCTTCATATCTAATCTTCACCTTCATATCTTCACCTTTATATCTTCACTTTCATATCTTCACCTTCATATCTTCACCTTCATATCTTCACCTTCATATCTTCACCTTCATATCTCCACCTTCATATCTCCACCTTCATATCTTCACCTTCATATCTTCACCTTCAAATCTTCACCTTCAAATCTTCACCTTTATATCTTCACCTTTATATCTTCACCTTCATATCTTCACCTTCATATCTTCACCTTCATATCTCCACCTTCATATCTAATCTTCACCTTCATATCTTCACCTTCATATCTTCACCTTTATATCTTCACCTTTATATCTTCACCTTCATATCTTCACCTTTATATCTTCACCTTCATATTTTCACCTTCATATCTTCACCTTCATATCTTCACCTTCATATCTTCACCTTCATATCTCCACCTTCATATCTAATCTTCACCTTCATATCTTCACCCATCATTTCCTCATGATCAGGCGGAGGCAGGGGCTTTCCACTTCTCTTCGACGTCTGAAATTTTTATGAAGTTGGTTTATATTATAATATTTTTATTTTATTTTTAATAAAGCTGTCTAAGCTTTCTGCATACCTTTTTCTGTTTTGCTCTGCCTAATTTTTTTTCCCTATTAATTTCTCGTCTATTTCGTGTGCTATTTATCTTCTTTTGCTTCTTTTATTACTACAGTGTTGGCTAAACCTGCCTCAATTTCTTTTACACTGTGGATTCCAGAAAAATAACTTTTAACTGGGTTTATAAATTTATATTTGGTTATCATCTCTTAGTCCAGAAAGCAATGGCAAACTACTGACGTAAATTTGCCTAGAGAAACCACACAACAGCCAGGGGCGGCTGGGGTTGGTTCTGCAAGGCCCTGTAAAGGATCCGCAACTAACCATCATCTCTCAATTTACTGGTCTATTTATATCTCACCATAAATTCCACATTATTCTGTCATACATTTTCAGCTTTATATTCTTTGCAACGGGCTAATCTATGTTTGTAGTTTGTTTCTGCTGGCTTATCAGCTGTACAACCATTCTCATTTGATATTACAGTTAGAACTAGGTTTCATTTCTTGTGGCCTCCACAGATGTCCTGATGTTTGTGTGTGGTTATTTCCCCATCTGTTCCCTAAACAGGTAACCTGAGGACAGTTAAATGAAGGGCTACTGGGTTTATTGTTTGAGAGATTTATTCTGATAATCTTTGCTTAACCTCTACAATTTGTAGGCCTACTTGTTGTGACTTGCCGTCAGGTGTGATTCATTATCTTGTACCTGATATTCTCTGTGGTGGGACATGAGGGCAGAGTTATCAGCAAAGTCCAGATCAGTAAGCTTCTCTATCAGAGTTCACTGAATGATGTTTCTGGCTGTCTTCATAATCCAGGCTGTAGTAAGCAATAGTTTATTCATTCATGGTCCTGTTGTAGCGTTATATGTCACATAAGGCATGCAGTCTATTCTCTGTACCCTACTATCCTGCACAATCACTTCATTGTCAGGGATGGAGTCCAGTCCAGCAGTTTTGGTTTGTCTCATCAATGTTTACCGAGGGGATTCTTCTGGGCGTCCTGTTTCCTCAATCTATTTCCTATTTCGGTGCCTGTTTGGCGACTTCTGTTCATCTCTTCTCAGAATGCGACCAGTATAGCACCATCCAGCAATAATTATGTAGCGAGAAAACTTGGCAGAAGCCTTGGTGTCTCTGCTCAATCAATACTGGCCAGAGGACATCCAGTCTTATTTCTTGCTTGATCTTTTCATAATTTTCCATTTTAGTTTCTGCTGCTTGTTTAACTGGATAAGATAACAGTGTTGAGTAACTCAACAGAGTCGAAGAAACTATATACTGGCCAGAGGACATCCATTGATACATCAAGTCTTATTTCTTGCTTGATCTTTTCATAATTTCCCATTTTAGTTTCTGCTGCTTGTTTAACTGGATAAGATAACAGTGTTGAGTAACTCAACAGAGTCGAAGAAACTATATACTGGCCAGAGGACATCCATTGATACATCATAGTCCTATTTCTTGCTTGATCTTTTCATAATTTCCCATTTTAGTTTCTGCTGCTTGTTTAACTGGATAAGATAACAGTGTTGAGTAACTCAACAGAGTCGAAGAAATTATTAGTTCAGTAGAGATCCTGCAGTGAAATAAAAGATCAATTTGTTTTATTCCGTAGTGTCATATTCCGCTGCAGTCAAGATCCTTCTTATCGTATGTAGAAATGCATTAGAATGGGGAAAACCCAGTAATGTTGAGTTTGAAACAAATGTGTTGAGTAATCCATCATAAGAAAACAGTCATGTTGAGTAACCCAACAGGAAAACAAAACAGTCATGTTGAAGATGTCACTTGTTTCAGTTGTTGGACATGATAGCACCACCCTACACAGAAGAGTTTGTGCGCTTGTTACTTCCCCTGATCGAGAATAAAGCTGTCACTGACAAACTGAGAACCAGCGATGGAAAGGATCCGGTGTCTGAATTTATTGGTGAGTTTTTCTGTCCTCTCCATTGAATCATTTTTGTGTCGTATGTGTGCATCATTGCCTGCCTGATGTTTTACACCTGTGTGGGCAACACATGGTATCTACGGTAGTGCCCAGGCTTTGTGCTGTGGAGGGAAGGTACTAGTTTCCTGGCCTTAAGAAAAAACAGGAAGGGAAGAAGATAAATACATTTTAAAAATAAAGGCAAATAGGTTCAGAGCTGAGTATCTGAGACTCATTGTAGACCATTTTCTAAATGCAAGCAGGTTTTGTGAGTCACTCTATCACCATGGACTGGGATTCCCATGCATTCTACAATACTAACGTCTGGAAAGATAGAGACCAAAGCTACCTGATCCAGTACCTGCCCATTCTGCTCCAGTTTGTTACTTGTAACTTTTTTTTTTTTTAATGTATGTGTTAACTTCTTCACATTCACTGGCTGTAACCTGGCAGAAAGTTTTATTTGTTCGTCCACCTTCAAACTTTAGTCTTGTTCCAGAACCCGAGTGTTTCATGCACATCAGACCTGGTTTATTTCTATGCAGACTGTTGGTTTCTTACCTCTGAGGCAGATGCACTCTCTGACTTTGAAGGATGTCCCCAGTTAGTAGACTCCTGCAACATGCATGTTGGGGAGATAGTGGGTAGGTTCCTATTATCCCTACCTTGTGTGTCTCGGGAACCCATGTGGGGTTTTGTCAGCAAGTGTTGATACAGGCAGAGCATGTCAGATAAGGTAGAAATGTAGAGAGATTTCTCTCTCTTGTCTGGGTTGTGATCAATCAAGGTCATACATATATATATAGTATTGAGAAGAATAAGAGAGATCTGTCAACCAGGTTTTGAACATTGACAGCTGCGACGTTCTGACAGTCCTGTAGTGAGTACAGGTGTGAGTCCTGTAAAGGCATAATCAACAGTGAGAAGAGCATAGTAATTCCTTCCTATGTTAGCCAAGCTAATGTCTACCTGTGATGTGGTAGTGAAACGAGGGTCGTGTCTGAATAAACCAGGACCCTTGCCACAACACAGACCTACACTAGGTCAAACTAGAGAATCTTCAACACCCACCAACTGACTGCTTATGTGTGCAAATATATTCACACTGACTTCTGAAGGTGGAAAGAGTATTAACATTAGTCATTTACCATAAATACTGGGGGAGAGGGGGGGAGAGGTCTGTGGAAAAGTTGTTTGCCTTGTGGTCTTTATTTAGACTGGGTTTGTTTCAAAAACTGCATCATTTGGTTCGCAAGTGCAGATTCTACAAATACGAAAAGCCTGGAGATTGGCCTGAAGCTACAGAGTTTATGCTTTGTGCAATATTCTCGGCAGGCAGTTTGACATTCTGTGGGAACTGAGCTATAAGGATATCAAATCCAGTGCAGTGAAGAATATCATTTGAACTTTATGAATACTACACATATTTTGTGAGAATATTTTCCTGAACATTTCTAAATTACTAAACTGTTTCAGATCACTGTCGGACCAACTTTGTGAACCAGGTCTAAGATGGAAAGTGGTTGCTGCTTCTAGGCAGGCAGGCGGCAACAATGTGGACAGGCTGATGGGAGTGGCTTTGTCTTCAGAGTCACCAAAGTTTGTGTCTTCCTCAAATTATGGGTAGATCTTGGTTATCAGTTACTGGTGATTTTCTGTAAGCAGACAATTGGAGCCCTTGGTGGAAAGTATAGCCTGCTTTGGAGTCCTTGGTGGGAAGTATAGCCTGCTTTGGAGCCTTTGGTGGGAAGTGTGGCCTGCTTTGGTGGGAAGTATAGCCTGCTTTGGAGTCCTTGGTGGGAAGTATAGCCTGCTTTGGAGTCCTTGGTGGGAAGATTAGTATCACATGTGTATACTGGGATAAGTGAGAGAAACAATGTTCTCTCTCATGACAGATCAGTCTCACATGTATATACTGGGTAAGTGAGAGAAACAATATTCTCTCTCATGACAGATGACTATTACATGTGTATACTGGGATAAGTGAGAGAAACAGTGTTCTCTAGTGACAGATCAGTATCACATGTTTATGCTGGGATAAGTGAGAGAAAGAATGTTCTCTCTCATGACAGATTAGTGTTGCATGTGTATACTGGGATAAGTGAGAGAAAGAATGTTCTCTCTCATGACAGATTAGTGTTGCATGTGTATACTGGGATAAGTGAGAGAAACAGTGTTCTCTAGTGACAGATCAGTATCACATGTTTATGCTGGGATAAGTGAGAGAAAGAATGTTCTCTCTCATGACAGATTAGTGTTGCATGTATGTACTGGGATAAGTGAGAGAAAGAATGTTCTCTCTCATGACAGATTAGTGTTGCATGTATGTACTGGGATAAGTGAGAGAAACAGTGTTCTCTAGTGACAGATCAGTATCACATGTTTATGCTGGGATAAGTGAGAGAAAGAATGTTCTCTCTCATGACAGATTAGTGTTGCATGTATGTACTGGGATAAGTGAGAGAAACAGTGTTCTCTAGTGACAGATCAGTATCACATGTTTATGCTGGGATAAGTGAGAGAAAGAATGTTCTCTCTCATGACAGATCACTGTTATATGTGTTTCTTCCTCCTCACTGGCTGTAAACTTTGGCAGAAAGCTCTGGTTGTTCTTTCACATCTTTACTTCAATCTTGTCCCAGAGCCTGAGTGTTGTGTGCACATCTGTTTTACAGATCTGGCTTGTATACAGATTGTTGGTTCCTTAGCTCTCAGCAGAAGCACTCCGACTTCAAAAGAAGTCAACTCTTACATGCTTTTTGTGAGGCAGTGGGTTTGTTCTTGTTTTGCTGAAGAGCAAACACATGAAGTTATATACGTATACACTGCTAGAAAGTGAGAGAAAGAATTTTTGGTATCCTCACAGATCAGTGTTATGTATACACTGGGAGAAAATGAGAAATACTTTTCCTGTCACAATAAATAATTATTAAATGTGTACATATTAGGAGAAAGTGAGAAAGAATGGGAACTTTGTAAGTGAAAAAAAAAAGTAGTCTGTTGTGAATAAAATGACGATGAACCAGTTTTGGGCTAAACTGTATTTTATTTAAAAACAACTCAACATAACATCATGTATCTGTGTCACTGGCGGTGATGGCAGGTCTCTCTTTGAGGTATTTACACAAGAGCCTATATTATTAACAAGATAATCACAAAAAATGCAACAAACAAGAAATAAAATAACAAATGAAGGGAGCTTGATGCAATCAATTAACCAGCACCGTGTGAAGCTGAACAGAATTAACAAGAGTACCTACCCGGTCTATCACTGCCTAACATGCATGTTATGAGGTGAGCTGACTGACTCTCCTACACCTGGGTTTTTCAATTAGTGGACTGTGGTGTCAGATATGCTCCACAGAGACCCAGCAAGTGGCACGCAGATCACTGGCTCTCCTACACCTGGGTTTTTCAATTAGTGGACTGTGGTGTCAGATATGCTCCACAGAGAATCAGCAAGTGGCACGCAGTTCACTGGCTCTCCTACACCTGGGTTTTTCAATTAGTGGACTGTGGTGTCAGATATGCTCCACAGAGACCCAGCAAGTGGCACGCAGTTCACTGGCTCTCCTACACCAGGGTTATTCAACTAGTGGACTGTGGTGTCAGATATGCTCCACAGAGAATCAGCAAGTGGCACGCAGTTCACTGGCTCTCCTACACCAGGGTTATTCAACTAGTGGACTGTGGTGTCAGATATGCTCCACAGAGACCCAGCAAGTGGCACGCAGTTCACTGGCTCTCCTACACCAATGTTATTCAACTAGTGGACTGTGGTGTCAGATATGCTCCACAGAGAATCAGCAAGTGGCACGCAGATCACTGGCTCTCCTACACCAATGTTATTCAACTAGTGGACTGGGGTGTCAGATATGCTCCACAGAGAATCAGCAAGTGGCACGCAGATCACTGGCTCTCCTACACCAGGGTTATTCAACTAGTGGACTGGGGTGTCAGATATGCTCCACAGAGAATCAGCAAGTGGCACGCAGATCACTGGCTCTCCTACACCAGGGTTATTCAACTAGTGGACTGGGGTGTCAGATATGCTCCACAGAGAATCAGCAAGTGGCACGCAGATCACTGGCTCTCCTACACCAGGGTTATTCAACTAGTGGACTGTGGTGTCAGATATGCTCCACAGAGAATCAGCAAGTGGCACGCAGATCACTGGCTCTCCTACACCAGGGTTATTCAACTAGTGGACTGGGGTGTCAGATATGCTCCACAGAGACCCAGCAGGTGGCACGCAGATCACTGGCTCTCCTACACCAGGGTTATTCAACTAGTGGACTGGGGTGTCAGATATGCTCCACAGAGACCCAGCAAGTGGCACGCAGATCACTGGCTCTCCTACACCAGGGTTATTCAACTAGTGGACTGTGGTGTCAGATATGCTCCACAGAGAATCAGCAAGTGGCACGCAGATCACTGGCTCTCCTACACCAGGGTTATTCAACTAGTGGACTGTGGTGTCAGATATGCTCCACAGAGACCCAGCAAGTGGCACGCAGATCACTGGCTCTCCTACACCAGGGTTATTCAACTAGTGGACTGTGGTGTCAGATATGCTCCACAGAGACCCAGCAAGTGGCACGCAGATCACTGGCTCTCCTACACCAGGGTTATTCAACTAGTGGACTGTGGTGTCAGATATGCTCCACAGAGAATCAGCAAGTGGCACGCAGATCACTGGCTCTCCTACACCAGGGTTATTCAACTAGTGGACTGGGGTGTCAGATATGCTCCACAGAGACCCAGCAGGTGGCACGCAGATCACTGGCTCTCCTACACCAGGGTTATTCAACTAGTGGACTGTGGTGTCAGATATGCTCCACAGAGAATCAGCAAGTGGCACTCAGATCACTGGCTCTCCTACACCAGGGTTATTCAACTAGTGGACTGGGGTGTCAGATATGCTCCACAGAGACCCAGCAAGTGGCACGCAGATCACTGGCTCTCCTACACCAGGGTTATTCAACTAGTGGACTGTGGTGTCAGATATGCTCCACAGAGACCCAGCAGGTGGCACGCAGATCACTGGCTCTCCTACACCAGGGTTATTCAACTAGTGGACTGTGGTGTCAGATATGCTCCACAGAGAATCAGCAAGTGGCACGCAGATCACTGGCTCTCCTACACCAGGGTTATTCAACTAGTGGACTGGGGTGTCAGATATGCTCCACAGAGACCCAGCAAGTGGCACGCAGATCACTGGCTCTCCTACACCAGGGTTATTCAACTAGTGGACTGTGGTGTCAGATATGCTCCACAGAGACCCAGCAGGTGGCACGCAGATCACTGGCTCTCCTACACCAGGGTTATTCAACTAGTGGACTGTGGTGTCAGATATGCTCCACAGAGAATCAGCAAGTGGCACGCAGATCACTGGCTCTCCTACACCAGGGTTATTCAACTAGTGGACTGTGGTGTCAGATATGCTCCACAGAGACCCAGCAAGTGGCACGCAGATCACTGGCTCTCCTACACCAGGGTTATTCAACTAGTGGACTGTGGTGTCAGATATGCTCCACAGAGACCCAGCAAGTGGCACGCAGATCACTGGCTCTCCTACACCAGGGTTATTCAACTAGTGGACTGTGGTGTCAGATATGCTCCACAGAGACCCAGCAAGTGGCATGCAGTTCACTGGCTCTCCTACACCAGGGTTATTCAACTAGTGGACTGTGGTGTCAGATATGCTCCACAGAGACCCAGCAAGTGGCATGCAGTTCACTGGCTCTCCTACACCAGGGTTATTCAACTAGTGGACTGTGGTGTCAGATATGCTCCACAGAGACCCAGCAAGTGGCACGCAGATCACTGGCTCTCCTACACCAGGGTTATTCAACTAGTGGACTGTGGTGTCAGATATGCTCCACAGAGACCCAGCAAGTGGCACGCAGATCACTGGCTCTCCTACACCAGGGTTATTCAACTAGTGGACTGTGGTGTCAGATATGCTCCACAGAGACCCAGCAAGTGGCACGCAGATCACTGGCTCTCCTACACCAGGGTTATTCAACTAGTGGACTGTGGTGTCAGATATGCTCCACAGAGACCCAGCAAGTGGCATGCAGTTCACTGGCTCTCCTACACCAGGGTTATTCAACTAGTGGACTGTGGTGTCAGATATGCTCCACAGAGACCCAGCAAGTGGCACGCAGATCACTGGCTCTCCTACACCAGGGTTATTCAACTAGTGGACTGTGGTGTCAGATATGCTCCACAGAGACCCAGCAAGTGGCACGCAGTTCACTGCCAAGTATATTATTAAATTGGTGATCTCTCTATCCTGGGTACGGACCTCTGACCCGTGACCCCCAAGTATATTATTATATTGGTGATCTCTCTATCCTGGGTACGGACCTCTGACCCGTGACCCCCAAGTATATTATTATATTGGTGATCTCTCTATCCTGGGTACGGACCTCTGACCCGTGACCCCCAAGTATATTATTATATTGGTGATCTCTCTATCCTGGGTACGGACCTCTGACCCGTGACC